GCTAAAGCCGACTAATTAATTCAAAGTAATCCCAATGGGGCCACTCCTTTGGGTTTGTGTTTTTATTTCAAACTTAAAAAAGTCAAAATTAATCCAGAAACATTAAAAAAACATTCAATTAGATAATAAATATATAATAAATAATCCCAATTCAATTTAAATCCATAAATCAAGCCCGGGGACCCGCATCACCCTTTGGTTAAATGAGAACGGTCTTCTCCGGTCCAGAGTCCAGCCCGTTGCAACTAAAAGTTCCAGATCTTTAACGGCTTTTTGGGAATATCTTGAATTCCTTGGGGGATTGACCAGGATATGTCACCCTTGGAACCAGTCGGGGAATTTTCTGTGATTATTCACTTCCAAGGTTCTTCCCCCCTTGCTCTTGTTTGTGGGGCGTTCCCGACTCTCGGGTGTCCATGTGTTTATTCCTTCTGGTATAAGTACCTTATTAAAGAGAGAGAGATATAGAGGTGGTGGGCTTCGAAGCCGAATGGAACATTCTATAAGGAAATATCTATATTTTTTTTTTTTTTCTTTAATGAATCCAGGACCTGATGTCTCGAATCTGGTTCTATACATCTCATAGATTTAAGATTGGTAGGGTAATTTGCTTTCCCTCAGGCTAAGGTCTTAGAACTGGCTCTTGAACGACGGGGCACGCGTTCACGCATTTCCAAGATTAAGGGACTGGTGGGTCGAATTCAATTTCCACAATTTCCACAATTTCCACCTTTTTGACAGCCAATTTCCCGTACAATGCAATTCTAGTGCACGTGATGCCTCTGGACCCAGAAACCGGGCATCGGCTTGGGGAAGTCTTATTCCACGGAGTAGACAATATAGTACTCTAACTATATCATACACTCTATCTATGAGTATATCTTTACTTCCATTATTCTATCCATTACCACGGACTTCCCTATATGATACTCCCCTTTCTTCACTCCGACGATCAGTCTTCCTGAAACCTCCGTTCAGTCAATGCACCGAGGATCAGCAAGCTATCCCTCTTCCTGTTCGTACTTTGTACTCCCGGGCCTCGAATCCTGTCTGTCAACTTTCCAACCCATCAGGCAACAAAAAGGCAAAGGCAAAAAAAAAAAAAAAAGGAAAAAAAGAAAAACAGAAAGTCGAACGTGTAAGTGGATCATGTACAACGTTCGCAAGGCGATCGTTGCCTCCCTTGGCTTCGTTCGGAGCCAGCACAGACATGACCCGTTCGGTAGCTACGGCTTCATCGACCTTATGATCCGCTTGGAGCAACGGGGGGGCTATCCGTAGACCAATGTCTGGATTATATCCGAGGGGGAATGACCGGTATAATGGGGAGAGGTATAAAAGTAAAAGGAATAATGGGGAGAGGTATAAAAGTAAAAGGAATTCAGGCCATGCTTCGAGGGCCTGGGGGTGGGAGGGAGAGACAAAAGATATGTTAACAGTCAGACGCGGGAGGGAAGAAGCCACAAGTGTGATGATACAGGATGTCGCCCTACTCTAACGGCGCACACACCGTATGTACAGTTGAGGGGGCAGGTTCAGCCAACCATGAAGAATGAACGGGGTGGAGTTTCAAGGAGGGGCAAATGTCGGATCATCATGACTATGACTTAAGTGGTAGCGAAGAGCTGGTGGCGCTGCGCGGAGTGTTTCTCTTTTCTATTTATTGTCGCGATCACCCTAAATATCCGACACGCACCCGTTGGACCCGGTTTTTTTGGTCGTTTTTGATTCGAAGCTCATTATTTTGCCATTGGTATCATTTCAGATGGATGCGAGTGGGTTTCTCTTATATCTCACTATGTATGTACCTACCACTAGCCACATATGCACTGTGAACGGAGAATTAACTGTTCCACTTAGATCCGTAGGATCATCTGCTTCAGCTCCAGTGGCGCCCAACCGTTTGAATTGGGGCAGTGCGCTCAACGGTGGATCTTCGGTAGATGGGGAGGAACCCTGCTGTCAACACTCCCTACGGAGTACACTATTTTGCTATGGATCATCGGGGGAGGCCATATTTGTTCCGAAAGTGGATGTATCTCAAATATGTACGTATACTAACACAAAGTACAGAGAGGCACAGAGAAGATCCCGACAAGAGAAGGAGCACGGTATAGCTTTCGGCCGGACCTCTTGATATTCCATGGCCAATCATCAGCCTGGAGATTTCTATTTCATTTGGCTCCACATCTGAAACAGCTGCTGTGTGGTCAAGTCCCTTCTAGACACTAGACACTTTAGGTGGAACGCGGTTCATTTGCACGGAGTATTTCTCCTACACTTGCTCCATATGTTGTAGTAGACTTAAGATTATCGGTCTCGAACATTCTTCTGCAAAAACCGGGGGAACACGGCCAGCAAGGAAATTGGCTGATTCCAGCCCGTTTATGGTCCCATTGGGCCCTGGGATCTGACTGGGAAGTTCACCGAGATATCCTGGGAAGCTGATTTCAGAGATGCAGTACATTTTTTTCATCTCTCTTTGAATATGTTCTATGTGTGTGAACAGCCCGCTATTTATAGATGGTTTCTTTGTTGTGGATGTAAGTCGGCTTGGGATCTGGTAAATGGAACAGCTCAAAGTCTGTGAAGGAACAAAATAATCAAGTGTAAGTGGGATGGGGGTTGAATGAAAGTTGAATGAATGTCTCGAGAATTCAGTAGAGTTCTTGCCTTTCTTTGATCACCATATCCCTGATTCATTGGTTCCATCATGCATTCAAAGAATTCCCAATCGATGCCACATTTTCCTTGGAGATGAGAACAATGAAAATCAGTTGCAATGCGAGATAAATTAGACTGCGACCCCCTCAAGTGAGCAACAGCTTCACATATTGATTCATTTCATATTCTATCATGGCCAAAACTAAACAAGTCCCAAAGAAAGTCCTAGAGGAAGAGGAAGAGGAAGAGGAGGAAGTCGAAGCCTCAACAGCGCAAAGGGGAAGATCAGACGAAGAGAAAATGAGAGTGAGTGTAGCCAACCTCTACATCAACAAGTCTAACAAGAGAGATAGACCGTCATCCCCAAACATTGGCATCCAGCCTTGCCCAATAAGACCACCGTGGGCTTGCCCAATGCCCGGGTTGACTGCTATCGAAATGTCGTCTTCCAAATGCTTCTGCATATGCCGATTCTTCACAATTGGCTCATCTGGTATATGAACCACCATGCCCCTAGGGGTTACGTTTGCAAGATGGGTGAAGATTTCCGCAGATGCCAAGTTTGCGAACTTGCCGAGGTCTTCCAAAGTTATTGGGCAAATGAAACTAGAAATTGGATCTATACCTTTAGATATCTAGCAAGGACGATCTTACTTAAGTGGAAACCAAACGGCGAGAATTCGGAACAAGACCCAGCAGAGTACTTTGTGAAAGTTTACAATGCCATCAAAGAGGGCATCAGGCCTATGATGTATGTTATTCTCTCCATATTCCCCCTACACGCAGAAGACTGACTTGAGACTCCAGGAAAGGAGACTTCGAAGATATGTTCGAGGTCGGAATCATCCAGAGGAGAGAATGTGCTGGGGAAAACCCCTGTGCCCCAAGATACACCCCGAGCCAGCAACCGGTCATGCTGCTCCCATTTTCAGAGCACAACACACTCCCCGCCAGGCCTACTTTGGGCGATGTAGTCAAACAATACTTTGAAAATGTAGACGATCTCGGTACATGTCCGGACTGTGGAGGCAAGAAGACATCCAACGACCGAATTGGACGTTTTCCTGAGCTTCTCGTGATCCAGCTCAACCGCGCCAATGATTTTGGCCAAAAGATCCAAACCCACGTATATCTGACCGAGCAGTTAAATATCGAGACACGGTTCATGGATGAACGCTGGGGCAACGAACGAAAAGTCGTCCGGTATAAACTGACCTCGATGGTCTTGCATTTTGGCCAGCATGTACAATCAGGTCATTACATGATCGCTGTCAAAGGTAAAGGAGGTCAATGGTCTATGGCGAATGACACTCAAGTCAATGACTGGGACCCCGAAGGACCCGAGAGCAGCCTGGACTATCCCGCTACCTGTTATCTCTTTACATACCGCCGGTTACCCACGGAAGACGAGGCAGAGAAAATCCCAGATGACGAGGCCATTCAGGCCGACTCCGGTTTATGCTCGGACGATGATGTGTTTGAGAATGTTGATCCTGGCCTAGGATTACCTCCGGTCCCTGAGAATACTGTCGTTAAGATCCCTGAGAACACTGTCTTTGAGAATTCTGTCTTTGAGAAGTCTGTCTTTGGGAATTCTATCTTTGGGAACTCTGTCTTTGGGAGCTCTGTCCCTGAGAACTCTGTCCCTGAGTCAGGCGCCAGTGTCTGGGGAGTTGATCCCAGGACATTGGAGAAGTTACTGGAGGTGATCATTCCCAAGGCCGTCGATACCTATATAGCCCGCTCAGCGGATGCGAGGCACAAGGAGTGGGATCAATGGTCGAAGGAATGGGCGAAGGAATGGGAGAAGAGAAGAACAGCCGAAGGAGCGAACACAACAGCCAAAGGAGCGAACACAACAGCCGAAGGAGCGAACAAATCTGCTATTTGCCCTGGTTGCGACAAGGATATGGTCAATTGGCAGAAGCAACGAGGAAGACTTCAGGTAACTTTGACTGAAAATCAGGGGAATGGGGAAAAGATCCTAGACCTCGAAGTTCAAGGTCTACACTACAATCGACTCAAGAGGAAGGTGGGCAAGGAAGCCGATAAGGCAGAAGAGTCAGCAATTACCAAGGTGATAAAAAAAAAGTTGAAGAGCACAGCGAAGGGAGATGAAGAGACGGAGACGGAGACGGAGAAGGGGAAGGGAAAGGCCAAGCCAAAGGTGAAGGATACAGCAAAGGGAGATGAAGAGAAGGGGAAGGGAAAGGCCAAGGGAAAGGCGAAGACGAAGGGAAAGAAGAAGTAGAAGTTCAATATCTCGGAGTTTAGTTTTTTCTTCAGTTTTCAATTTCAATTTCAAGTCTCAGGTTTCTTCCCTCTTTCTACCACAAATGGATTCCAATTCTCCTCACATCTTCATTGATCGTTTAATCGCTGAATTGTCACAGCCAGCACTGTCAAAGACTATAAAACCACTGATGCTAACATTGCACTGTCTGTTTCCAAATGACTTCCTCCCTGCTCTTGATATCCTCGATCGCAAACTAGTACGTCGGATTGTACGCTCAGATCGATCTTCCACATCCCAGATCCAAGAGGACATTTTCGTCGTATTATCTACATCAATTCCGCCTTCACTTCCCGGCTCCTCAATCCCCTCCCAAGAAAAGGGCTATGAGGTTAGGCTGCGTGCCTGGAATTGCAGCTGTCCTACATTTACCCTGTCTGCATACCGAGACCCTCAACTCCTGCATGATTCGACAAACAAACAGAACCAGTTGGCCTACTCATTTGGCGGAACCTTAGCTCGTGGTACGGCTCGGGTGTCGCCTCCTACCTGCAAACATATTCTCGCCTGTATTCTACATGCACGGTGCCCTGAGCTGTTCGGGGTTGATGGGGATGACAGGCTCGCCGTTTCCAAGGAGGAACTGGCAGGCTGGTGTGCTGGTTGGGGTGGTTGATTTGCTTGGCTCTTGACACGTCAACGCAAATGGATGTACGATGAATTTTACGCACTTGTGTTTGTCCTTGACCCTGCGGCAAGCTGCTAAGCGACCTTATGAAACCCATCCTAGGTATCTGCAGATGACAACAAGTCCTACAGACCCTTGTCCATTCCACATGAGCCATCTGCCCGTGTCCGGACAATCAATCGTTCAAAGTCGGCTGGCCCCGAATGGAGACTTGTCCCGGAGCTCTTAAGATTGCGGGATGATTGTATGATAGATACACCAATGGCAGTGTTATTACTTTACGAGATAGTTGTTGTTCGCTGTGCAAATTAGACAGATCTAAACATAGGATCTTGGCCCTGACTATCCAATGTACATGAGATACAAGAAACCCCGGTTTAAATGTGGTATGTTTAACTGATTGGATTGATAATCCTTTCCGGAAGAGAATAAATTAAGAAAAGTCCCCTAGTTCTTCTTCTTGTTCTTGTCGGAGCTATCCTGCTCCTCCTTCTGCTCGGCGTTTGGTGGGCCGGCCTTCTTAGCATCCTTGTCTCCCTTAGTTCCATTGGCCTCCTGGTCCCGCTTGGTGTCACTCTCCTCTTGCTGCTGTCGGTTCTGGATCTTGTTATCGATTAAGTCGTGGAAAGCCGTGATAGCACGAATCAAGCTGCTGATGTAGATAGCCATCAACTGGTCATTAGTCTTGACACTCATGGCCCGTGCCAACTCGCTGTTCTCGATCTGCGGCTCCTGGCCGCTGGTCCGCTGCGTTGCCGGTGGGGTGGACAGATTGGGAAGGAGGTTGAAAACATCCTGGAGGTTGCCCAGAATGGCGTGGTTGACGGGAAGTTCCTTGTCGAGAACTTTTTGGAGGTATTGACCGATATCGCGTAGCCGCAGATGCAATCCTTGAAGCGACTGCAGCTGCGACGTGATACGGGTGGAAAGTGTGCCGACTGCGACGTCCCTGATGTCTCGGAGGAGGTGTTCCACGCCAATCTCCTCTGCTTCTTCTGCCTCGATTATCGACGGGGTGTGCACAAATGTCCGGGAAGTTGTTGTTCCATCCTGCAAGTAAGAAAAAAAAAACCCCTGGTTAGCGCTGATGGCCTGATGGACGCTTCCTCGGATTCAATGCAAACTCACATCTTTGATTTCATCCACAGCGAAATAAGCATCTGTAGGTACACCAACCTCCTTTGGTTGTACATCAACAATAACCAGCAAGGGGTTGGGCGTGTATTTCTTGAAGAGCTCATTGATCTCCAAATCCGAAGCGCGCAGCTTGGGACCCGAGTGGTACCAGCCGACTAGCTTCTCGCGAGCATTGATTTTCTTGAACATATCCCTCATCGACTCCACGAAGTTGTGATCTAAAAACCACACCGATGGGTCTTTTTCATCTTCCTCGAACGGGACTAGAGAGATAGAACAGATGTCAACTCATCTCTTGTATGAGTTTAATTCATCGAAGCTTGCACTTACCAGCAAAACTGTTTGATACCCGGACATTATCGCCCGAGTTCTCACCCAGCAGCACGCCTACAACACGTTTTTTGGTACCCTTTGCTGTTCTCCCATAGTGATCTGCGACGGAGAGGAGGACTAACGGGGCAACCGTCACGGAGCGGTTGACGAGGGATAGCGTGTCCGCCGTGGTGGCAGGCATCGTCAAAGGGAGAAAAGGTGAAAAGGAATCGAGAGGTGTGAAGGATGATTAAAGGTCGTAGATCAAATAAAATCCAATGAAACAGCAAATCAACGCGAGACAGGAGGATGCGGTGGATGGAGAGCGATGATGCACAGGTGCTCTTGAGAGCTCTCCGCCACAGCTGCGCCATCTTGAGGCTGGAGGACTTAGTAAGCGGCCACCTTGCACTTTCCCCGGTGAACTGAGGAAACTTGGACTATGGAGGTGTATAGAATGTATATGTATAGAATATAGAAAAGAGAGAGTAGATAGAGAAGACAGAGAATATAGAGAATATAGTTATAGATACTGAATGTCAATTGTATCAGCATCTAACCTACACATCGCCTCTACAAAATGTCTTCAGGCCATTTTCCCCCATTCCCCCATTCCCTCGTGAAGCCCGTGCTCTCCGAACCTCGGGAGCTAAGTTCCTCGCGAATCTTCCCTTTCCCCATTTCTCCGTTTCCCCGTCTACAGCTTTTCTCTTCTTCAGAACTCTCCCCCCTTACAATTCACAATGGCTCCCATCACTGAAGATGCCCTTTCCGGCCTGAAGAACACTATCCACCAGCTGGAGGCAAAGGTGTCCGAGCTTGAGAACCGTCTCGCCAATGGCGGCAAGCCCAAGTCTGTCGCCGAACAGATGCGCATCATCCTGATGGGCCCTCCCGGTGCAGGTATGCGATTGAACTATAACGGGAAAAAGAAAAGAAAAAAAAACCGATGGATATTAACAGTTTCAACCAGGCAAGGGTACTCAAGCCCCGAAACTTAAGGAAAAGTTCTGCGCGTGCCACCTGGTGAGTAGAAAGTTTGCATGAGTACAGCATGAGCTCTTCCCGCTGATACATTTCCTGAATAGGCCACCGGAGACATGCTGCGGTCCCAGGTCGCGAAGAAGACCGATCTTGGAAGGGAAGCCAAGAAGATCATGGACCAGGGTGGTCTTGTCAGCGACGAGATCATGATCAACATGATCAAGAGCGAGCTGGACAACAACTCCGAGTGCAAGAACGGGTGCGTACATCTCCATTTCCCTCCCAAATTCATTTTCTTCCGAGGCCCGGCTAGAATTAACACGAGAGATGAACAGTTTCATTCTGGATGGTTTCCCCCGGACGGTTGCGCAGGCCGAGCGTCTCGATGACATGCTTACCGCCCGTGATCAGAAGCTCCAACACGCCATTGAGTTGCAGATTGACGACTCTCTGCTGGTGGCTCGTATCACCGGCCGTTTGGTCCACCCTGCCTCTGGCCGCTCGTACCACAAGATCTTCAACCCGCCCAAGGATGACATGAAGGACGACATCTCCGGCGAGCCGTTGATCCAGCGCTCCGATGATAATGCCGAGACCCTCACCAAGCGTCTGTCTACTTACCACGCCCAGACCACCCCCGTTGTCGAGTACTACAAGAAGACCGGTATCTGGCGCGGCATTGATGCTAGCCAGGAGCCTGGCCAGGTCTGGAAGAGCATTCTTGGAGTCTTCCGCCAGTAAGCGATTCTGTTGGATTGATTGCATTTAAAAAGGGGGATTTGGGAGGTGATTTGGGACAATTTACCGGTCCAGGCTCCGTGATGCCTACCTTTTTTCCTATTTTTTTCTTTGGGCATATCCGAAGTATGGCTGGTGTTCTCGTCCACATATAGACGTGGGTTTATCCCGTTGACCGCCATGTATAGTAGTAGTATGTGTGTACTTTTTGTGAGTACTCTTTGAGTACCGAATACACAAGACCGGTACGCATTCAATTGGATATGTATTTGGTAAATCTTATATTCTGCAGTCTAATTCCTTCCGACAAGGCAACACACGCGGAGATGTGTGTATTTGCCTCATACTAGTATTGTTCAAACTTGCCCTGGAACTCATATCTAAAGTTGTAGGGGATACTCAGTCGACTCGATCTTCTGAGGATAGGCCAAACCACCCTGCTTTCGCACCTCATCCATGACCTCCATAATCACGATACTCTCTTCCAACGGCATGCCTTCACTCTCGAGCTTGCCATCGCGGAGACAACGAGCAACCTCATCAGCCTCCCAGTACATACCCTTACCATTACCAGGGAACGGGCACTGAACCTCACGGATCTCACCAGCACCCTTCTTGGGAATGATACGGTAGCTCTCTGGCCGGAAAGGTGGGCCGAACACCTGAATCTCACCTTTAGTACCCTGAATACGGATGGTAGGACCAGCCGAGCCCTTCTCATCGGGATCAGCAGAGACGCGAATGTTGGTCATGGCTACACCGTGCGATTGCTGTGGGTGCGGGCCATTCGAGGGCGTACTTGTCGGGAAACTTAGAATCATGGTTGTACACTCGTCTGCACCGGTGAGGTGGTAAGGAGTCATCTGCGAGAGCACAGTGGGTGGCCTCCTCTGGTCTCGAGGTAGGGTGTGGTACAGAGTCTGGAAGACCCAGGTCAGAGAGTAGATACCCACTAGAAGAGCAATCAGTCAATGTTTTCTTTCTCTTAAGCCTAGAAAACCTACAATCCAGGAGAGCACCACCGGCCAAATCAGGGTTCACCATACGGTGTGTGGTACCCCATTTCGTCTCAACATCATCACCGAAGCTCGTATCAGCCACGACACGGAGGACCTCACCGATCTCACCCTTCTGGATGAGCGCGCGAATCTGAACGCTGAGGGGGAAATAGCGAGTCCAAACGGCTTCCATAAGGAAGAGATTCTTCTTGCGGGCAATCTCGATGAGGATCTTAGTCTGAGCAGCGTTGACGGTGAAGGCTTTCTCACAGAGAACATTCTTGCCTGCCTCCAGCGCGAGTCTGGCATTCTGGTAGTGGTGGGAGTGCGGAGTCGCGACGTAGATAACATCGACATTGGGGTCGGCTACGAGAGTCTCGTAGTCACCGTATGCGGAGCAGGGGGTTGTGATTCCTCGAGCCGAGATGAATTGCTCGGCCCTTTCCTTGGATGAGGACGAGGCGACGGCCACGACTTGGTGGGCTACGTCAGAGGCATCGCGGACATTCGGGTCGATGAGAAGATCATCTGTGAATGCTGTTCGGAATGGGTTAATTCATGGGTTCTTGTCTTATACACCCAGGTATGTAGAAGTGAAATCTTACTCTCGGCGATCCAGCCAGTGGCTATCAATCAGTTAGCTTTGTTTTGTTCCTTTTCGGTAATTTCATAACAGGATCTCGAGATGTCATACCCATGATACCCCATCGAACAATGTGTGGCGCCATGATAGTAAACTTGAAGACAAGAGTCAATACAAGCGTTCAGATTGAATTAAAACAAAGACAAGTTTACATAGGAATGAATTCCGAGGGGAAAACAAGCGGGGGTGGAGCGGGGCAGCGGGGTCGTGTAGGATCCTATCTAATGTACAACATCCTACGTGGATCCTCCGTGGGTGCAACGTGGATGCAACGTGATATATAGTTACATTTTGTAAGTAGATGGACTCAATTCGCTAATTAACGCCAGGAAGATATTCCCTATGCAATGCAATAATCGGAACATACAAGATCATTAGATCTCGGTCTTGATGCGCATCTTCTGACTTGGAGATTCAGTGCCCTAGGTATGGTTAGCTCTCTGGATATCTAACACGCCCAAAGAAACTCACTTCGGCTTTTCGTTTGCCCAGTACAGAGTCGGGTGTGCTGGTCCGTGCCTGGCGCGTCGGTGCAGGGCCCTTTGTCACTTCGGAATAACAGCTGGCATGATACACACGACTTCCGACCTTGGTTGCGTCTTGCCAGATCCAGTCCTGCACATCTTCAGACCAGGTCGATTCGAATTTCTCCTGGCAGATGGGGCATGGAGTGTTTCGGAGAGTGGCATCGTTCGGGGCTCGAATCCACGGCTTTGGCGGCTCTTGCTTCGTATTGCCATCCGCGCCTGCAGCTCCCTCGGCGGTGGTTTGGGGATCTGCAGCGCCGTTCTCATCGCCAGCCTCGCGGGATTTGATCCAGTCCTATTGGAGTTAGAAATAAAACTACAAGGGATACAAGAGATAGACATACCCTTTCGTCAACATACCAGCTGCGATTCTGAGCCCGCCGGGAAGACTCGGTCATGCGCTGATTGGTCTTGAAGTGCCAGTCCAAGTGCCGGGCCTTCATTTCCTTTCCTTCGTCCGTGGTCAAGAAACGACGGCCGCAAGTTCCACATCGGTTTGGTCGGGAATCATAAAGAGAGACAATAAGCCCAAATCGAGGGATCTTCATAGATGCGGTGCTCATGGGGACTCCAGAGGATCCATTAGGAGGAATTTGAGTCTGAGACGAAGCTGATGGTGTAGGTTGCATTCCATGGGGCAAGATAAACGGCAAATTAGATCTACCAGAAACTGGTGTTGAAGTCGAAGGCGTAAGAGATGGGGGTGTCGGTCCACTAGGTAGAAGCCCACGTGCCCTCAAGGCCGCGATAAGAGGATTCTCCGGTGCTGGTGGAGGAGGGCCGCTTTGGTGATATTGGGGCATATGAGGTAGCGCTGCCGGCATTTGAGGAGGTGGGGTGGACTGTTGACGCGAAGCGGTAGCTTTGATCAGCTCGGCGAGAGTGTTATGATTTAATAGTTGCTGAAGGGGTTGCGAGACTGGTTGCGCTGGTGGTGTGGGGATTTGGGGAGGAACGGACACTGCGGGGCCACCATTCGTAGCAGCATTAGGGCCAACCGACGGTGGTCTTGTGGCAGCAAGGGCAGAGACCTGATCACGGACAAGTTTCAACTGATCTGGGGCGAGCTGTTGTTTCTGTAGAATTGCCTGAAGATCCACCAATGCTTTCAAGCGTTGTTGGGAGACAGGATTGAATGGACTGTTCGCAAAGTCAATCTTTGCAGAAGCGATCAGAGCATCCACGTCTCGATTGAGGTAGCTCAAGTCGATATCCTGTCGATGAGTCTGGGGAGGTGTCTGTGAGAACCCAATTAGCTTCAGATGTGACACACAACGAAAGTAGCCTTACAGAATTAGAATAACCATTATTGGGATACTGGTGGTTTTGTGGAGGCCGAGACATGTTCTGGGGTGGTGTAGAGCTGTTGGACCATCCAGTCGGAGTCCCATTTCCACGATTACGACTGAGGATGTCCGGTTGGGCCCTGGCCTGTTGTTGTTGCAAAGCCGCAGTGCGTGCTTTGATGAGAGCACTCTCGATGTTGCGTGTAATGTCGGGAGGGAAGACTGGGCGTGTGTCCAAGGAGCCTGGGGCCGGTTGCTTCCATGTGTTGAGCATCTCATCCAGCTTCCTCCGAGTGTTTCCATCAACCAGAGTATAAACATTCATAAATGTCTGGTACATGTTCCGGCCAAGGAAGAGGGTGTAGGGGCTTCCGACGTTCTTAACGATGGAGTCGGCTACATAGAGGGCTGGAAGCTTCTGCAGGGGTGGTGTCTACATACTGGTTAGTACTCATCCTGTACTACGCCAAAAAAAAACATCAGGAGCACCTACTGATCGAATGTGGTTCTCCAGGACCCGGGATATGGCCATTGCGTGTTCGGTATTCTCTTTGGCGATGACAGTCAAAGTGCGGATCTGGATTCCATCATTGGTGGTTAGGTCCTCCAAGGAACTCTTGTAGTCCTCCGCAATTTCGTCCGAAATGAGACCGGACATTATGGCGATGTGGGATGAGTCGAGGGTGATCTGGGATTTTAAAGATGTCGAGAGAAGAAATCAATATCAGGGCGAAGTTCAGCACGTGGTCTTGATTTTTTTCCTCCTGCTCCTTTCTTCCACTGCTCTTGTTCCTTCGAGTGTGTCTGTTTCTTTTCTTTTCTTCTTTTTCTTCTTCTTCACTTCTTCCTTTGGGGTGGCTTCTGTCTGTCCTTCTTTCCTGTGACTATCAAGACTGTCTTCTTTTCTTCTTAATCCTTGTCCTCGTTCCAAGGAACAAATTCTCTTGGATCAACGCAAAGATGGAGAAATAGTCGGAACTTGTAAATGCTTGCTAGCTATCTTCGCGAGAATTGAGAAAACAATAGTATTCAAACACTTGCTCTCAGTCCAATCCAACCCGTGACCTTCCAGTGCCCTTGTATATCTACTTTCCAGTCGAATAATCGCCGAGGGGTGGTGATGGAAGGGAAGAAATGCGAGGCCGAAAAGCCGCGGACCGCGAAAAAACCAAGCAGATGCGGCGAAACAAAAGAGACTACCAAGATGGGTAAATGCAAGAAAACAGCGCTGTGGAGGAGTGAAGCAATGGAAATTGAGAGTTGACAAGAAAAGGAAAAAAAAAAAAAGAGAGATAAGTGAAATAGTGAAGTGGTGAGTGTTGAGGTGGTGAGGTGGAAGCGCCGAAGAGAAAGGGATTGTGAGATAGAGTCATGTGATCGTGGAATGACGCATTCAACTTCTCCTCGACTTGGACTGACTTACCTTCCTTCGTACATTCAATTTATTTGAAAGAGATATTATTACATTTTTCAAATATGAAGCTTACACTTGCTACCCTGCTAGTTCTACCGCTGGCACTGGCCGGATCGCTCAAGTCCGTCATCGTCACTTTCCCCAAGGGAACGCCTGACTCGGTGGTTAACCAGGCCAAAGCCTCTTTGGTGGCTTCAGTACGCAGTGCTTCTTTGTTGTCATGAGGCTGTTATGACACTGTACTGACACTTTTAGGGTGGTGTTATCACGCACGAGTACCGTAAGTACTACATACTACCTTGCACATTTAGATATAGAGATACCATTTCATCGGTACTGACATACATCTCTTATCAGATTTGATCAAGTATGGTTCCAACGGACGTTTCTGTCTTATAACCTGCCTTCTAACTACGACTTTAGTGGATTCGCCGCCGAGGCTCCTGCGAGCGCTCTCCAGACCCTCTCCACGCAGGATACCCAATACAAACCGAATATCGAAGAAGATAAGGTTGTCAGTGCGTATGGAGACTACGCAGCTGCAGTCTAATATGCCATCTCCAATGAGATACCGGTTCTGAATCTCAAAGCGCCTGAGCATACATATCATGACGTCCAAAGGCAAAACCACGTCGGAATGAACCAATCAGAATTACACCATCAGAATGATTTAAGTGATCTAACGCAACCTCGAGGCTTGGATTGTATACAATGTGGAGTCAATGGTTGAGTCCTTATGCTTCAGCTAAGGGCTTTAGGGGGGGGGGGGCGGACATATGAATCTGATAAGTTTACATTTACACTCAAAAACATAACTACAATGTATTCATTATTATAATTCAAGACCTAAGTTATGTACTTCGTACAGTGTACTTAGTAGCAAATCAAAGAGCGTAGACAACGTAGGGCCGATCATCCTCCCCTCCCCCCCCCCCGCTAGTTAACTCCCGTCCCTCTGGCCCCCAAGGCGCGTGGATCTGGAAAGTCCCTCGAGAGCCGAGGCCTTCGCGTTGCAACCCTTCACTTCGAGAGTCTTGGAAATGCTGGAATTGCTGGAATTGCAGGCCTCTTTGACACTCGATTAAACGCGCCGCCAAAATGGGATCGGAACACACGGTGACCAAGGTTCTGTTGGAATGGATCAACAGCTTCGCCTTGGGTAAAACCCTCCGAACCACTGACGAATTAACCGATGGGATTATCTTGTGGGAGATTCTCCAGGATATTGACCCTCAGTATTTCCTCGAGGAAATCCCAGAGCGCAACTCCTCCGACCATTGGGTGGCCAAGTGGCAGAACCTGAAGCACATCCACAAACTATTGCTCAACTACATTCGACACCAAAACGATGACATCCTACCTTCCGGTCTCGATCCGTCGCCCGATCTCGAATCAATTGCCGAAAAAGCCTCTCCCAAGGAAACGAACAAGCTGCTGAAGCTTCTCCTGATCGCGGCCATCAGCTCTCCCAACGCCGGAACATACGTACAAACACTTCAGGAACTAAGCACCTCGACACAAGAGGGGCTCAGAGATATTATTGAGGAGGCACACAATGGCCAATATGAGCCAATGGACGCTGCGGATGAGCTCAGGGAAGACCTAGCCAAGCACGATCGCCCTGTGGATCTGGAACTGCAGTTCGAGGAACGCGTCGGAAAGGTACTCGCGGAGAATGACCGTCTAACACACGAGAAGAAAGAATTGGAAAAGGCCTTGGGGGACTTGCACAATCGCCTGGCGCGTCTCCAGGAAAACAATGACACCCTACAAAACCGTCTCGCCTCCACCGAGGACCGGCTGGTTACCTTGAAATCCGGAAAGGGTGATATCGGTCACAACGCAAAGGCATTGGAAAGCAAGACCCGTCAACAGGATGATCTAATTGCCTCTCAAGAAGCAAAGTTGACTGCGGCCCAGGACGAAATCGACAGTCTTCGCATGGCAGTCGAGTCCTTGCGCGTCAAGAACCAGCGCTATCAGAAGTTGCAGGATGACTATGACGAGCTCCGTACCGAAAAGGATCAACTGGCTCGCAAGGCAAACGCAGCCGAGAAATACCGCCAAAAGCTGCAAGCCAGTCAGGACTTTGAGAAAGAGAACCAGACACTCAAGAACCAAATCAAAGATATCCAGCAACAGCTAAAAGAGTCGGACGCACAGCAGCGTTGGTCTTCGGAGCGCGATGTGGAACTGGAAGAATATCGCAAGCTTCTGCCACAAGTTGAGCAGGAATGCAATGAGATCCAGAACTTGAAGAAACAACTCGAGTTCAATAATCATGCGCTGACAGAACGATTGGAGAGTGCGGATGAACAGCACGAGAGGGACGATGCTTTGATCAGTGAACTACGTGAACGCCTCGGAGAAATAGACGGCTTGCCGGGCAGCGCGTCGCCTGGCTCTGAGACGCCAAAGATGCAAGGGACATTGCACAAGGACTTTGAGGCGCTTGGTGTCAAAGAATCACAACTGTATGTATACATTTTGCCTTCGTGGTCTTATTGGATGCTAACTATTGACAGTAAATCTGAGGATGATTTGAAGCGGGAAACCGAGTCCGTTAAAGCACCTTCAGCTGTATGTGTGCCATCTGTTTTCTGTGAACGTTTGTTGATACTAATAACCAGCAGCCAGCCTCTCATACTGGAGGCTTCTCTGAAAACTTTACTGCATCCGTGCAACTGGCGCGCTCTGGTTCCACCCAAAGGTATGAATTCCCGACATTTCGTTCGTTTCAGTGAACAGAATATTTAACATGCCTTAGTGACGACTACTGGAAATTATACGAGAACTATACCGGAGCTCTCAAAAAGATTGCAGAGGTCCAGGACACCTTGGAAACAGCTAAAAGAGACCTGTCTGATACACAAGCTGAACGTAAGTCTTTTATTGCTCTGGCTCTACACATCCGAGAGAAACATGTGTCTAACAATCTTGAAGTTGGCCTTGTCAATGCGGAACAGGTCGAGATGCTCCAAGGACTCGAGGCGTATAACTCGGCTGAATTAGCAAAAGTCCGGGATGACTGGGAAGCCCTTACACAAAACGTCCACCACCTGGAGGCCGAGGTCGATGCAAGCCAGACGCTGGTGCGTGAAGTCTGTGCGGAACGAGAGGAACTCCGCAAGATGCTCGACAACAAGCAAAGCGAGATCAGCTCCGAAGATCAGGAAGTTATGAACGAGATGCAGATGCTTCTAGGCGAGTTTGAAACCCACAATAATGAGGGCGGCGAAGTGCCCCAGAAATCGAGCTTCGAGCTCTTGAAACAGTGTGCGGGAGTTCTGGAGAAGAATGTTGAACGGCTTGCTCAGCGTGCCGAGGTCAGTTTCCACGAGAGATCCTCGCTACGTCTTATTTGGGTTGTGTTTGCTAATTCTAGCATGATTCTACAGTACATCCAGCAACAAAATGAGCTGGTCAAATCACTCCGTGAGCGTATGAAGAACTATGAAGAAAACCTAGACGATGGCATTTCCAAAGAGCGAGAGGTAAGTCAAAGATGGAGCTGTTAGGTTCTAGCGGTATGCTAATGACACTTTTTAGCTTGAGCTTCAGAACATTATCGATAGCCAGACCCGAGAACTCAACCTTGTGGGCTCGGCTTGGTATCACCTTCAGAGCCGATGGCAGAACAACAATATGACGGTATCGCGATATCGACATGGAGCCAGCACGGGAGATTCTAAGGGCTGGCTAGCAAAGCAAAGAAGCGCTGTTGCTGGGTAGTGGAATGCCCTATGAATCAAATTCGTGCCATTTTTTTTTTTTAACATATGCGTTATATTTTTTTCGTTTACTGGTTTGGATGTTGAGATTCCCACTATACATCCCATCTTATTCTTGTGATTATTTCTACAGCAATAGAATCTATGTCATTTAAAGAACCCCAGAGTCTTGATTGAGCCAGATGAATCCATTTTGAAGTAGAGTGAGTTCGTCGCATTCGGAAAATGTAAGCTACCTAAGTAGATCCCCGCAATAAAAGATGTCTATGGAAAATACAAAAAGCCTAGGTAATTGGCCTAGTCCCAAGAAAGGAGAAATAGAAGGGGTAATGCAGAAATTATAAGAAAATGGTCTCTATACAACCTGGCCAAAAGCGGGAATCAAAGTCTGTGCCAGCCAGAAGCTGAAGACCAGCTTGGGACCTGTCATAAGCAGCTTGGGGGTCAGACCCTTGAAGAAGCTGGTGGGGCCCTCATTCTTGAGCATCGTGGAGACAATCTTGAAGCCAGACTCGGGGTTCTCGAAGTTGCGGTTCTGGATACGCGTCTTGATGACATCGAGGGGAGCGGACACGACTAGGGAGGCACTAGCACCGCAGACTGAGGCGACGAAGTTCTGGCCCCAGGTGGCAGTGTTGTAATCGGTCAGTTTGTAAATCTTTTCCTTGGCGAAAGCAGATCCACCGAAGAGCTGTAACAGATGTTAGTGGGGGTCCAGTGATAGTAGATCGGGGGAAAGCATACAGCGAAGGACCCAGGGGCGTTACGGGCGGCAGTCCAGCCAGCACCGCGGTACAGACCCATACCCTCATCGGCAATAATCTTGAAAAGACCACGTCCACGGAAGGCATCGGGGTTAGTCTGGCGCTTAATCTTAAGAACGTCCAGAGGAAGCAGAACGATCTCTCCAATGCCGATCAAACTAAAAGATTTCGAGTCAGATAGATCCTTACGCCCAATTTCAATTTTTCTTACCTTCCAGCAGTGGCATGCATAATGGCCTTTCCGGTACCCTTGCCAAATGCCTTATCGAAGTCGGCACGGTGGTGCTTGTCGAGGTAATCGCGTGCGAAAGGCTGACCACCGTACTTGTAGATGCGCTGGAGGACCTATCGATTTAAAGAATAGTATGAGCTGTCTGTTCTCCCAATCTTCTGCTGTCGATAAAATCCACGAACCTTGTAACCGGCAGCGTATCCCAGACCGGGGAACAAAGAGGTGAACTTGCGACCAATTGAGGCATTGACGTGCTCCCTAAAGACAACCTCCTTGAAAGCGGTAGCGCTGGAGATCTGTCAAGGATCCAGTCAGCAATAGATACATCTTCATTCGTACACAATCCGAATCTCACCCGGGTCTGGTTGCTCATCAATCGCTTGGCGGTAGTGTCAACCTATGGACGTCAGTGTCTGGTCGCAACTGGTCTCGAATGGGAGAATATCGTACGGGATGGAAGATCAGCAACTCAGCAATACCGGCAGAGCCTAGAAGAGTCAGATTTGAGTAATGAGCTCGTATTTTGAACATCTGACGACTTACCGGAACCAAGGAGACGAGCAGTGGCAGACTCCTTCTTGACATCCTTGGGGACAGCGCCAGCACTGGTGGCAATAGCGGAAGACATTTTTTTTCCAAGTTTGTCAAGTAATCCCAAAAAAGAGCAAGAGAATGAGAACGCCGATGGATTCAGGAACATGTGCTCGGAGTTAAATTTTATCGAGGCAGACTTGGCACTAGTCCCGTTTGGGAGCCGCCATCGGAGAGCCAAGGAGTTGCGAAAAGTCGTATAAATATGTATGTATATATGGAATCATATGTATAGAATAAAACGATGCTACTTAAGAGGTATCAGGAAGCAAGTTGCACTGTCTAATCTATTTATTCCGAGTATATGACTCCATCTTTGTACATCTTTATATGGAAATAGGTGGAATCACAACCGCATCGGAGTCATTTGAAAGTGCCTGAAACAGATTCCTTTGATACAGCATGACCGTACTCCGTAAATAGCACAAGTGACAAACTGCATCGGCACTTGCACAGCGCTAATATCTGCTGTGGGGGTGAGGAACTACTTAGGGTTAGCGTTTGGAACATTCCATGGTAACTGCCGAGGATATTCCTAGTATAATCAGATCTAAATACTCCTCGCTACCTGTTTTGTTGTTTACTCGTTACTTGGCTCGTGGATAAAGAACTCATATTGCTCCTAAGTGTAAATCACTTCATCTAGCCTGATCAGTGGTTCGTTTCCAGGTCGGTGCTCCATCATTGCTCGACGGTACAACCAAAACATAAAGAAATTTGCCAAAAGGATCCAAGAATATTACCACAACCAGAAAGCTCATAATGATCGTAGTTGCAGCTAAAGAGCATAGTTGCCAAGCAATGTGAAAGAAAATGCGCAGAACACCGAATGAAACGCCAGTGACCCAAAACCAGTATCCCAAGGTCGCAAAAGCCTTCTCGCCTGCCCGTTCATCCATTATTGACTCACTCGTGCAGGTTAGAGTGACCGAGCAGCAAAGCAAATGAGAGAGACTGAACAACCTCTACAGGTCACCGAAAGTGTTCTCGCCAGAGTATCTAACCGTTATGTCAGTATGATTTCATTTATAAAATAAAATAAAAAAGGAGAACATACGTGATGTATAAGAAGCCATCTTCGTCCTTGTGCTCTTCGTAGATGCTGCTCATGAGCGCGGCAGTTGGAGGGAGGACCTCATCAACGAAGATGAAGATAGCCTTCTCAGGGGAGAGCTTTATGCGCTTGCGGATCACATAGACAAACTGTCCCACGGTAAGGTCGGCCGGTACTAAGTACTTCTTCTTGTCGATGGTGGCGATATCTGACTTCTCGACCTTCTCGCAGATGACCTGTAGATTAGGGGAGTCCGTTAGCTACCGAACAAGCGGTGAGGGTCTGAGAGTTTGGCAGCAACAACCACCTCCGTTGGGGAGATCCCTGGGATTAAAGATACTCACGGGAATCCTGTCGGCGTATTTCTGGCGAATGCGTTCGGCCTCAGCCTTTCGCTTCTCGAAGGGGTGCTCGTCCTTGAACTTGGATCGCATCGTGACTGATAAGGGTCGATAAGTGAGAGCGGGTCGCGTGGAGGGTAAGTAGGATCAAAAAAAACTAGGAAGCTCTGGTGCGAGGTTGGTAGAAATAGTGGTTTTCTTGATGGGAAGGTTTGGATGTGAAGTAGCTTGCAAAAAGAGAGATGAAGAGGGGTGATAGAGGATGACAAGGCGACTCCCCCGCTGACGTTACGGTAATACCATCACGGGATCCATGGGCGGTGAGTCAATAGTCACGCGGCAGAAATCAGATGCCTCGGGCTCTGCTCACGTGAATAGCAAGGCATATATTATTTACATACTGCATCAGTAGATTAAAAGAGTTACCTCCCAATATACTAGTCAGGTCTTGAATATCTAGACGAAAAGCGATCTCAATATCGGGGCTTACACGTCCACGGGTTATTGCCCCGGTGCTGATCCCGGGGCCGCTTATCGTGCTTATCTCATCCAGCCAAACAGACCAAACTCAGCTCTAGGAGAGTCGTACGATTTGAGATGTTGCGTGGTATTTTGCTAAACTGTTGACTCAATCCAACTTCTTCCTCATATCATTCTTTATACGGATCCGGGATACCGCTCTCTCGGTTTCGGCCATTGACCTTTTGATACTTTGTGCTGGCAGCCATACGCGCAACCAATTCTATTCCAAAATGGCCACCCGATCATACACGCCTCTGCGGAGGTCACTAGGGCAGTTGTCTGCTCGAAGTACTCGCATTGCTGGCCGCCGTGCTGGACCCTCATTTCGCGGGTATTCTACAGAGCAGAAACCGCGTGAGCCCAAGCCATTCACTGTCTGGAGGCCATACTTGCGCCTCGCCATTGGCGTGCCTTTCATCGGCGGGATCATATACTCAATGGTATGACACGGCGCTTCAAAATGCGAAGAAATCAATTTGCTCATTCATTCCAGATGACAGAAGAAGTCACGGAACTCGACGCTCCATCCATGGTTGAGGTGGACGAGGCCCTAAAGCAATCGAAAATCAACGACTCCTCGCCGATGCGGTTACGGATGGAAAAGCTCATCAAGCAACACCAGCAGAAGATCATCGAGGAACTAGGCAGAGTCGATGGGCAACAATTCAAGACTGATACCTGGTCGCGCCCCAATGGCGGCGGCGGCATTTCGTGTGTGCTGCAGGACGGAAACGTCTTCGAGAAGGCGGGTGTCAACGTCTCCGTGGTGTACGGCAAATTACCTCGGCCGGCCATTGAGAAGATGCGTGCCGACCACAAGTCCTTTGTTGGCTCAGATGTGGAGTCGCTAGATTTCTTCGCTGCCGGTCTCTCGCTGGTCTTGCACCCACACAATCCCATGGCTCCGACGGTGCATCTCAACTACCGCTACTTCGAAACGTCAGATCCCAAGGACCCTATCAACGGGGACAAGAATTGGTGGTTCGGAGGTGGCACGGATCTGACTCCGACCTACCTCTTCCCGGAGGATGCTCAGCACTTCCACAAGACCATTAAGGATACATGCGATCGCCACGATGCTACATACTACCCCCAGTTCAAGGCCTGGTGTGACAAGTACTTCTATATCCCCCACCGTGGCGAGTGCCGTGGCGTTGGAGGTATCTTCTTCGATGACCTCGACGCCAACTTCCTTCAAACATCCGCCGGTTCCTCCTCCAACCCGCAGGAGACACTGTTCTCGTTCGTTTCGGACAGTCTGGCGTCTTTCCTTCCTTCCTATGTGCCCATCATTGAGCGACGCAAGGACATGCTGTATACCCCGGAACAGAAGGAGTGGCAGCAGCTTCGTCGGGGCCGCTATGTGGAGTTCAACCTTGTCTATGATCGCGGAACTAGCTTTGGCTTGCGCACACCCAATGCCCGTATTGAAAGTATCTTGATGAGTCTCCCTCGTACCGCTAGCTGGGCGTACATGGATCCTGTCTCCGGCACAAGGACAGAGAACATGCCTGTGGATGAAGATGACCTGACGGAGGATAAGGCCAGCGAGAAGGAGATTATGGATGTGCTGCGCCACCCCCGACAGTGGGCATGATTGATTCATATGTCATGCTTGGTATATGGTGTCGTGCGGTGTTTTCTTGATTTCTATATGTATACTACCTAAAAAAACTTTGTAGAGTAAATGTGGATAATTATTGAGCTAGGTGTCTCTACAGCCATTCCCACGGCAAGTCTTAAAGGGCACTCGAGATTTAATATTCGGGCACGAAGCCCAGACTGATAAAAAAAAGTTTTCATTTTCGATCGACTTCGGATTGTTAGACAGTTGAAGCAACTGGCTCTGGTACTATCCACATCTGTCTTATTTTCCGTTCATATAGGCATATATTTGTCGACCTTACATCGATTGGTAAGATGGCCGAGTTGGTCTAAGGCGCCAGGTTAAGGTATACCTTGACTCCATAACTAGCAATAGTTTCCTGGTCTCGCAAGAGGCGTGGGTTCGAATCCCACTCTTATCATTCCTTTTTGTTTTTCGCTCATCTAGGTTGCACTCTTTTCCTACTTGCATTTTTCTTTTTGGTTGGACAGTGGGTTATACTATGATTAAATTCATCGAGAGTTGGTTGTGCCCGAGGAACTTTAGGCCGGAGCTTTTGCCGCCACGCATATGACCATTTTTAGTGATGAGGTTGTTACAACCCTTGTCGGATGGTTAATTATATATAATACATAGTCTATCCAGAGCAATGCTTTATTCCTGGTTATCCAGTCGATCTGGTCATACATTGCTCGGCGCAAATAAGTAATGGAGTTGTGATTGCTGTCTAGAAGAAATATAGGGATTGTATGGGGATATTTAGATCTATACTCCTGAGGTTACCCCGGTTTACCCAACATATCGGGTATTAGGACTGGTCTTTCCAATGAATATATTTTGGTTGTCAGGACACATAGATGATAGTATATGGCTATCTTCAACTGGCTTTTATCTTAGGAAACCAACTGTTGTTCTCCCCAACCACGCCCGGTAAAAAGATATCTCCATTTCTGCGCGTCTAGTATACGCTGATAGGTGGCCTGCTTTTGACCTAGAAGATTTTGACCTAGAAGATTGCCAGTAGAGATACAAACATGTAATTCTCCTGTATGTGCCGGGGTGATGAATGGCCCGATACGAAGCGAATCAGTAGAATAGTACGCAGTCTAGAGCCCAACGCATATAAAAAGGCATATTAAAACTGCAATCAACACCTCCCCGTGAGATCTACCACCGTACTATAGCTTGGTGGTGAGCGTGATAGTCCTCTAAACCCCACTATATCGACTGTTACTACTATCATGGTCTAAAAAGATACTGGTTTACTAGGAAAGAACATATTGAATAGCATAGGATGTAACACCAGAAATGGCTGTCGTGGCGGAATACAAATATTGATTTGTTAGTAACCATTGAGGTCTTGGGATATCGGAAAATAGCATAATAGTAGCGATGACTAGAGTCCCTCTGTGATTTCATCGTTAAACCACCTTCATAGAAACGGACAGGCAAGCGGAAAGGGTGAGAGTCCCAGGCATATTTGCTCACTGGAGGTATTACATATGTTTAGTGAAATCCAACGGGATCCTGGAATCCATGGCATCGTCCCAGTGTTGTCTTCATGGCTGATCTCATTTAGATGGGTTTTAAGATCGGATCATGGCCCCGTGGTATGGCTGATATCTTCTCACTAGCACTACAACCGAGGACGACGCAGCCAAGAAAGTATGATTTATTCGTTTTCGCTAAAGTATCTAGGTCATTCATGGGATTTTGGCCGTTTCCTAGGGGAAAATAACCTAGTCAATAGTATAAAAGACTTCTGTACTCCGTATAGATTTCACCCATGGCCAAATTGGCGAACAAGCAACAACTTTGGAGCATGACCTCAAAATCCACCACCCACCAAAAACAACTCAATTGATCTAAGAAAAGCTTTATATTAAGGTGGAATGAGCAAAAAACAAAAAAGGAATGATAAGAGTGGGATTCGAACCCACGCCTCTTGCGAGACCAGGAAACTATTGCTAGTTATGGAGTCAAGGTATACCTTAACCTGGCGCCTTAGACCAACTCGGCCATCTTACCAATCGATGTAAGGTCGACAAATATATGCCTATATGAATGGAAGACAATGCATACGGGACGAAACCCTTTTTAATAACATGGAAGTATATTTATTGATTTGAGAATAGTAGTCGAATAGCACTACAAGGCTACAAAACATACAAGGACACTCTGAAAAGGCAGACGTTTTACTAAAAAGACCACTTTTACGAATATCTTCGTAGTCAAACTAGCAAATCCGGCAAAAATGCTGGATTATTAGCCCAATTTAGCAAAGACAGCATAAGTATCACACTACATATTTATACTATTTTTTTGAAGCATATGAGATTTCAGCTGATACCTAGAATTATCCCAGGATAATATCACCTCGAATAATCCATATTGTAAAGAACATACAACACATGGAGTAGCCGACGGACAGACGGGGTTCTAGCCATATTCTGATTCCCATAAGCCGAGGTCAAAGCCCGTCGCCATTGGACCGTTACACAGAACAGCGTAGATACTATATGCCGTACATGCGATGTAAGAGTGGCATTGATAAAACCTTTAGCGTAAACTCTGCAATGATTAAAGGACAGGTTATGATAGGCATGATTGGCTCCTTTTTGTTGTTTGCCGTCATTGGTATTGACGGTCGTCCGGCTGAAGGGTTGGAATGGCCGATTCACGCACCGAACATCGGATGATGTTCTGTCTGGGGGTTGATGTCACCAAACGGATTCATCGGCTGTCGGAATTCAAGGCTCGGAGAATTGAATTCATGTTTGGAATAAGGTGTTATTATGGCATTGGTTATTGTTCCTGTCGGAATTGTAGTTCCGGTCTCCAATTGAGATTCGAAGCCTTGACTCGACGAATGAGATAAAAGATGAGAGCGATATCGATACATTTATGCTGTACTCCGTACAGATCCCGCGCACGTTGAGAAAAACTGTTGTATTCAATGGGTATCGGGCCTGTCCATAGGTCTAAACTAATTATGAAGTTATATGAGCAAATGCATCTAGACTACAAACAAAACTTTCCATTCCGAAAACCACTGCATGGCAGAAGGGTATCTCAAACCTTCTCTAGTGCTTCGCAGTGACACTGTCGCCGGTCAGTTTTTCGACTGCTTCTTTGGCCCTGTTCGGTGGAAAGGAGATCTGGTTAGCCCGAGGTTTCACATGAAAAAGGAAAGGTGGATCGCAATGACGACAGGGTAAGGGGAAAAGTGTGGAGAATGCGAGGAAAGTGGCTTACATGTCACCAAGAGCAACCATGCAGACCGTCTGCCAGATGCCCAGACCAATACGGGGAGCCACACCACGGTAGAGGCCGCGGATGCCATTGTTGTCGTAGATGTACTTGAAAGTCTTGCCGACGGTCAAGTTCTTGGGGCGGTTAGGGTCAGGGGTCTTGCTCTGCATCTCGACACGGATAACCTCAATCGGCTGGTTCCAGGCGGACAGACCACCACCGAGAGCCGAAGCCAGGATCTTTTCCCAGGCGGACAGCTTGGCGCCCTCATCCTTGTTGGCAACCTTGCGGATAGCCGACTCAGCGAGACGCGACAGACCGAAGCGGGAACCCCAGTTGGTAGTCTGGCGAATCGCAACGGCGTTGACACCACGGTTAATACCACGGATGCCCTCCTTGCGGTAGATATCCATGAAGGTCGCGAAGGTGCCGGGAGGCTTAACACCGCTGGCAGCCATCTTGTGCTTGGTGATCTCGACCGTCTTCATGCAGGTACAGAAACCCATCGTAGCGTAGGCCTGAGCGACACCGCCAGCCATACCACCGCTGATACCGGAGACGAAGTCATTGGCACCGAATGAGCGGGCGTAGTATTCGGCTTCGGAGGCGACGAAGAGGAGCACCGCACCCTTGGTGGATGCCTCAATCCAGGCCCACGGAATGAGTCCCTGGTAGTCTTAAACATCCGATCTCGCAATTAGTTTGAGTTCGTCACATCTTGCGGGTCCGCCCCCCACGCGCTAGCTAGACGTGGGAAATTGGAAGCGGGTATTGAATGGACACTTACAACCGAAAATGCCGCCACGGCCCCAAATCCGACCCATAGCGCCCGCGAAGCTATCGCCCCGGTTTGCGGCCATGGTTGTCTTGGTCACCTCCAGCGGCTTGGGGATGGTTAGTTGCAATATTTATTAACTGACCACTGAGGGATGCCATACCTGTCCCAATGTTGTAACCTCAAACAAGTTCAATCCTGCGCCCAGCAACAAGTTACTGAACTTGACAGGCTTCTTCTCGAGCGTAGGGGCCGAGGCCGCGGACGTAGTTGTAGACATTCTGGGATGATGGATGCGCTGAAAGGGGCCCTGACCAAGGGATATAACGGGGCTTCGTGCGTTTGAAGAAGGGGGAGAACTAAGAAAGTTGAAGAAGATGGATTGCAAATGCGTAGGAAGTTGGGTGGAAGGGAGAGAAGGAGAGGAGAAGGCAGAATAGCTTATAAGGTCGGGGGAATCAAAGCTTTGGGTCAGTAAGCTGGGGGGGGGACAGCTAGTACCTGGTACATCCGATCGTCACCGTTTCCACTTATATCATTGGGTACCCAGTACCTCCCATCAGCCTCGGAAGGAATCCACCTGCGTACTTCGGAGCAGTTCGCAGAGCACAATTATTATTTCTATTTTGTATATCCGATCGCATGTTTGTTTACTTTTACAATATCCATGTTATATACTATGTATTCTATCCATTTCACTTCTATATCTTTGGTGGCATGTGGAGAACGTTGAGCGGTGTCCCAACAATATCCCCACGTGATCGATTCAACACAGGTAGTCCTCAGACCGAGGCGATATTCTACGCTGTACGTTGAGTCCTGGAATGATGTACTATACAATTACGGAATAGTGTTATCTTTCTACATATGGAAGGTGTAGATCATAAATGATTTGACATGGAAGTTCTGTTACAAGGCCCGCTCGAACCGATCAAGTCCCTATCATACAACATGAAAATTACCAAAGACTTTCTCGGCCAAACAAAGGAGATAATACAAATGTCTAACCCGGGTTTTCAACGGGCCCCATGGGTGATATTAAAAAGGAGATGGGAAATTCATGCGCTTAAAGCTTGGCACCGACCAACTTGGCGTAGGCCTCAGTGCTGAAAGACTTGGGGCGCTCAATGGGCATGCCAAGAGCACGGTCGATGATCAGCTGGGGCAGGACACCAATGGCACGGGACACACCGAACAGGACGGTGTAGTAGCTAGCCTCGGTCAAACCGTAGTACTGGAGGAGGACTCCAGAGTGGGCATCGACGTTGGGGTAGGGGTTCTTGGTCTTGCCGTGCTCGGTCAGAACGCCGGGAGCGATCTTGTAGACCTGGCTGACCAGCTTGAACAGAGGGTCATCGGGCAGGTGGCGGAGAGCGAACTCGCGCTGGGAGACGTAACGGGGGTCAGTCTTGCGCAGAACGGCGTGACCGTAACCGGGAACGACCTGGCCGCTGTTAAGGGTGGCCCAGAGGTAGTCCTTGATGGACTGGTCGCTAAGGTCGTTGCCAATGGAGGCCTTCATCTTGGTGAGCCAGTTCAGGACCTCCTGGTTAGCCAGACCGTGAAGGGGACCGGCAAGACCCTGGAGACCAGCGGACAGAGAGAGCATGGGGGAGCTCAGAGCACTGCCAACCAAGTGGGTGGTGTGGGCGCTGACGTTACCACCCTCGTGGTCGGAGTGGATGGTCAAGTACAGACGCATCAGCTCAACGAACTCCTTGTTGCCGCCGAAGCCAAGCTGGTTGGCCAAGTTGAAGGCGTAATCCTTATCCTTCTGGACAGCGGCGACCTTGCCATCTTTGAAGACGTTGCGGTAGATGCGGGAAGCAATGGTGGGCAGCTTGGCGATGAGGTCCATGGAGTCCTCGAAGGTGTAGGTCCAGTACTCCTTCTTGTTGACACCCTTGGCGTAGGCCTTGGCGAAGGCAGACTCGTGCTCGAGAGCGGTCACGGCCAGAGAGAACTGGGCCATGGGGTGGAGGGTGTTGGGGCAACGATCGATGAGCTCCTCAACGAACTTGGGAACGTCGGAGCGGGCAGCCCACTCGGCAGAAAGGTTGTGAACCTGCTGCTCGGAGGGGACCTCGCCGGTCAACAGAAGCCAGAAGAGACCCTCGGGCAAGGGCTCCTCACCACCGGGAGCCTTGGGCAGGAGCTTTTGGCACTCGGGAATCTAGAAATAACAGTGAGCAAGTAATAAAACGAAATCCGAGTCAATGGAAACGCACAGTGTGGCCGCGGAAACGGATACCCTCCTCGGCGTCGAGAACGGAACCCTGAGGAAAAAAATGTTAGCGTTGTCGTTTGCCAGGGGCTATCGAAATTTGCGATCTTACCTCCCAAACGAGGGACTTGATGCCACGGGCACCACCGTAGGCCTGGTCGAGGGTAACCTCACCAATAACTGTGCTGCCGTAGTCCCTGGAACAATTGAATGCCATGGTCAGCTACTGTTTCAATTTCAAATACAGAGCGCGTCACATACTTGCGGAGCTTCTTGACCTTCTCGATCTGGGCGGGCAGGTTATCGGCGAAGGTGTCCTTGAGGGACTGGGCGATTCAACTAAGTTAGCATTCCATTGAAGCTCGCTGGAAGGACAAGCACCATACCTTGGCCTTAGCAGAGTAGCAGCGCGCGCCGTTCAAGGCAGCGGACTGCACCGGCTTCGCGATGGAAGACCGGAGAGTGGTAGTACCGATTCTGAGGGAAGAAGCCATGTCTAATATCAGGCAGGATATGTGGTGTGTGTGGTATAGAGGAGATGGGGAAGTGGTCACAAAGCCTGGGGGAGAAGAAGAAAGAAAGGAAAGAAATTGGGGACGAGCTGTTTTGCGCCTAAGATTTTCTCGGTTCTTTTCCCATCTGGCCGTATTACAGCCGGTACCGTTGGTACGGTAACTGGGCTTACTTCGGGACGCCGTGGAAGCTCAGTCAGCTATAGCTCTCTCTGCAGGGTGACATGGGCTTGTAATTTTCCCTACACGGTACGGAAGAGCACGGGCTCGGGCTGCCGGCAGATCAACTGTGATGCTACGTAGGAGATTGCGAAATACCGAGAGATATTAATTCAGGACATGTGTTCTTTTTGCTATATAGTAAGGATATTTAGGTCGATGAGATTATGTATTTATATAAGATTTATATAACTACTAAACAGATGCACGACATATCCGATTTATTCACCAGCCCTGGGCTGGCATCAACATACGTAATCAATTCCATGCCCGGGGCCATGGATGGCCCGGGGGCATTCCCCAGTTCCAATGTTTCCAAATTTCGCGGGCAGTACTCCGTACTGTAAATACAGTTCATATCGTATCTCTGAGAGGCAGGTAATGACGTCGTAAAGTCGCCATTTGTTCCGTGCCGCCATCCGTCCGATATGGAAGTCCTCGCTTATCAGATGGATATAAGGACATGGATGTCCACGGATATGTAAATATATCTGTACATATGTCATAGTGCATGTGATGGCGCCACGGCCTTGAATAGCCAATCGCCGATCGGAAGCCCCAGGGCGATTCGGATCCCAAGTCCTATGTTGTAGGGCTATTCATTGTACAAGATATACAGTACAATTGTTGTACAACGGCCTTTTCTAAAATGGTTCACCGAGGCTGGGAGCTATATAGGGCGGTAGCCAGGGGCAGAACCGGATTGGTAAGGACCCTCGGCTCCGAGGTATAACTAGTTAAGACGTTATGCTTCATGATTATTGGAATCATGCCTGTCAAGGTCCTTGATTTCTATCTATTACTGTTTAGTAGACTCTAATTATTTTCCCGGTCATTCCTTTCCACGGTGTAACTTATTATGGTACATAAAAATGATAGTAAAACAAGGACACATTCATCAATATCTGAAACCTCAATGTTTACTGACATGAGCCCTGCGCTATTTAAAACATAGAGGTTGGCAACAATCACCTCGACCTCTCTTTTTAGCCCCTTTTTGCTTTACTCCGTAGTGAGGCCTCCAACTTCAGATATCAGATATAAGATTAAAAGACCCCGGTTACGGGCAGCAGCCAAAGACGCAATTTCACAATTCACGTGACATATCCACGATAGGACTAGCGCTAGTCGCAGAGTCTTCCCCTTTGATGACCTCCATTGAGCTTCATCTTCATCCCCCCCATCTCAGCATCCTTCTTCCTCTCGATTTCATCGGTTTCTCAACCTCAGTTCATCCGCTAACTGCGCTGGACTTCACTGGATCCTCTTGGACTCCGTAAACCCTGATCTGGTTTCTCTCTGGGATCTCACTGCAAAGACGCTCTAGGCTGTACATCTCCCGTACTCCCCGTACTCTCGTACTCGGCGCTAGGTACCCTCCCTGGACACAATATCGCTAGGCTGTATTCCAGCTGTAGGCGGCTATTCTCTGGTCGACAGTGAATGCGCCCGTGGAGTCTGTAGTGAAGAATCGCCAGGGACTCGATTAAACATATCTTCTTTTTTTTTTTCATACCGAATTGACAGTCGCGTCACGAAACGCAGTAGCCCGGCCCCCTCGATTACTTCCTATCTGCATAAAGACTTGACTGGGGACGTGTTTCATTCATTCTTTCGCTACTCCCCTTCCAAACGGTAGTATTTCCCGCCATGTCTTCTGCAGTAGCTGAACTGGAGAACCTTCTCCAATCCATGCTGGCCCTCAAGCCGCCTGGCGTATCTGGCTCAAAGATTGGTGGCATCACAAACTTGTGCAATGCCAACGTGCAGGTACGCTTGTCCCCTTTGGTCGATTGATTCATCTCATTGGTCCTGTGTGATCCATGATATGCTAACCCTACCCACAGAATGAATCAGTTCTCATCCAGAAGATTTACACTCACTTCAAGAAGGCCCCCGGCTCTCACAAGCTGGGTGTGCTTTATGTGGTAGACTCAGTAACTCGCCAATGGGTAGAGGCTGCGCGCAAGGCCGGCCAGGTTCCTGGCGGTGATGCGCCGGATGGAACTTACGCCGCTGGTGTCAAGCGTGTCACTGATCTCTTGCCCATCTTGATGACAGATATCATCAATAACGCCCCCCATGACCAAAAGGTATGTAATGAGACATCCCTGTATCATCAACCCCATATCCCAGGATCGCAGCCCTGGTGAGATAGTCAAGCTTCGCATATTGTATCCTTGCCTCGATGTACTTCGATCTGAAGATCCTGCTGCCCTGACCAAACCGTTTTGGACAAGTAACTGACACACATCTCGTCAATTTAGGACAAGATCAAAAAGCTAGTCGACATCTGGGAACGTGGTGCGACTTTTCCGGCCCCGATGCTCGCTTCGTTCAAAGAGAAGCTGAACGCTGCTCAAAGTAAGTCCCCAATGATGTCAAGATATGCCACCAATACTCACAATGCACTAGATGTCGAATCGAACACCCCCGAAGGATCCCCTGCACCGAACGCCAACCCGATCGGAATCCCGCAACAATCGGCGACACCTGATACCTCGAGCATCCTGAAAGCTTTGGCCGATATGGCCAAGCAGAACACTACCGCGCCTGCTGCACCTTCCGCACTTGCGCCGGCCAACCCTCTGGGTGCTTTCAACTCGGCCTCTGTGACCCCTGCCAATGATCCAAGTTCGCATATGGCTGCTGCCATGAATGCACTCGGCGCCGGTGGACCTGTCGCGACTCCCTTTGCGGGTATGGCCGGCATGGCTCAGAACCCGGCTCTCCAGCCGCAGAGTCAAAGTGGAACTCCGATCTCGATGCCCGCCGCGAACCCGCTGACCTCAATGCTTCCTCAGGCTGCGCAACCCGCCGCACCTGACTCAAACGCCATGGCACAGCAGCTACAACTTCTCCAGATGCTCGCTGCTCAGGGAATCCCCCAGGACCAGTGGGGCACTGCCTTGCAGCTCTTCAGCATGACCAACAACAATGCCATGGGCGGTATGCCGGGTATGCCTGGGATGCCTGGAATGCCTGCGATGCCTGCGATGCCCGGAGGACCGATGGCTGGATTCAACCCGATGCAAGGACAGAACATTGGTGGATGGGGTCACTCGGACTCCCAGAACAAGGACGATCGTGGCCGTGAATACCCTCGCTCGCCGCCCACTGGATATCGTCGTCGTTCTCGTTCTCCGGGCTGGGATAGACGCCGTACTGCTTCGCCCCCTCGCCGTCGTGACAGCCCTGTCTATGGAGAATATGAATCGCCTGGTCGTCGTGGAGACCCGCGTGATGCTCGTGGCCGTCGTGGTAATGAGTATCGCCAGCGTAGCCCCCCTGGTGGCCGTGGCGGTAGACGTCGCTCGCCTTCGCCTGCTCGTAACAAGGATCCCAACCTCCCTCCCCCTGGACCCAAGTTCATTGAATGGGACTATTCGATCGGCCAGGGTATGATTAAAGTCTTGAGCCGAACTCTTTTCGTTGGTGGTGTTACCTCCTCCGAGGCCCACCTGCGTCAACTCTTTGGTCAGTTTGGAATTGTTCAGACTTGCATTGTCAATGTCGACAAGCGCCACGCTTTTATCAAGATGGTTAGCCGGACCGATGCCATGCAGGCACGTGATGGAATGGAATCTTACCGTACTGGCGAGATGCAACTCAGGGTAAGTCCTTCTCTTGTTTTTATTATCCATGGATCTTATCACTGACCTTATCAATATAGACTCGTTGGGGTGTTGGCTTTGGCCCCCGTGACTGCAGCGATTACCAGACTGGAGTCAGCATTATTCCGATTGAGCGATTGACCGAGGCTGACCGCAAGTGGATGCTTTCGGCAGAGTATGGTGGAACTGGTGGACGTCCCATTGAATCTGGAATGATTGTTGAAGAGCCCGATATTGAAATCGGCGCAGGTGTCTCCTCCAAGGCTATCAGCCGCCGCATTGCCACTGACACTGGCGGCAAGCGGGGCCCAATTTCCACTCGCACTAATCCCAATCCCCAGGACACTCGTTTCGGCGGTCGCCGTCCTGAGCGTGATGGATACGGTGGCGGTCCTCAGATGGGTGGTGAACTTGACATGCCTAATATGAACAATCAGGGAGCCGCACCTGCAGTTCCTTCCTATGGTTTCAACTTCGCTAGCATGCCCATGTTGCCCCCCGGATTCATGATGGGTGGTGGTCAGCCCGGTATGCCCGGTGCGCAGCCTCCTTCCGGTGGCCAGGGCAACTGATTTTTCTTGATACCTCATTGATGCGTGCACATATGGTCCAAATAGGTTGCGCGCACCGCGCATGGCAAAGGCGTTGGGGGATTGGACTTTTTTTCTTTCTTTCTATCTCGAGGCATATCATTTCGGCGGGGGTAGGTTTTCATTTTTTCTGCACTTCTCTTACCTTTAATTTCCACAATTGTTCATGAGGTCACCGATGATTGTTAAATCAGATGGATACATTAGGGTCAAACAAACTTATGACAAAATTCAAATAACTCATTTACATGATCCCATGGTTCCCTCGTAGGGTTTTTCGGCGCAATCTTTTTAGGGTAAATTTACAGACATGTCTTACTTGTAGTATGCATCTTTTAAAGTGTTCATTGATATCGTATCGAGGTCATCACTAAGTTCACCAAGCTGCTATTTAGTGTCCTTTCGCATTCCATCTTCATGCTCGAAAGCATTTTCATCTGTCAGAACCATCAAGCAGTACGGTCCGGCAGAGCCTTTAATGCCTGGAACGATTGCTCAAAGTCGGCAATGATATCGTCAATGTACTCTGTGCCAACCGAAATGCGGATTCCATCCTCCTTGACACCGGAGTCACGACGCTCCTGCTCCGTGAGCTGCTCATGGGTGGTGGACCAGGGGTGGATGGCCAGGGTCTTAGAATCGCCGACACTGCGATGTGTTAGTAAAAGCATTCAAAGGAGAGCGAATAAGAATGAACCATACTTGGCAAGGTTCGAGATCAACTTGAAGTTGTCAACGACCTGAGCACCAGCGGCAGCGCCACCCTTGATGCCCACAGACAGCACACCACCAAAGCCGCGGGGCAGGTACTTCTTTGCGAGCTCGTGACTAGGGTGGTCCTCCAGACCGAGGTATGACACCCAGCTGACATTCTCGTTCTCCCGCAACCATTTAGCCAGGGCGAGTGCGTTGGTTGCGTGTCGCTCGCATCGCAGACTCAGAGTCTCTATGCCGAGTATCAACTGCTGGGCACCGAAGGGGTTCAGGGTGGAGCCGAGGTCGCGCAGGATCTCAACGCGCACTCGGATAGCATACGCAAGCGAGCCGAATGTCTCCCAGAACTTCAACCCGTGGTAACCCTCGGATGGCTCGACGAATTGGGGGAACCGGGTAGCGTTCTTGCCCCAATCAAACTTTCCACTGTCAATCACAACTCCAGCAATGGTGGTACCATGGCCACCAATCCACTTAGTAGCACTGTGCACGACAATATCGGCACCGTGGTCAATTGGGCGAACAAAGTAGCCACCTGCACCGAAGGTGTTATCGACCTAAAGTAAAAATCATAAGCTTTGTATCCTCGCACGCTTCTCAAACAAGCAACATACCACAAGCGGGACACCCTTCTCGTGTGCGACCTTCGCAATGGCCTCAAAGTCCGGAACATTGTAGCGGGGGTTACCAATAGACTCAACGTAGACAGCCTTGGTGCGGTCATCAATGGCCGCAGCAATATCCTCAGGATTGTCACCCTGAACAAACTTGGTATTAATTCCCAGGCGCGGGAGCATAACCTTGAACTGGTTGTACGTGCCGCCATACAAGTTACTCGTGGAGACGATATTGTCTCCTGCTTGGGCGAGGGCCGAGATGGCCATGAATTGGGCTGCCTGGCCGGAGGAGGCAGCAACGGCGGCAACACCACCTTCTAGAGCTGCAAGTCGCTTCTCAAAGACATCGACTGTTGGGTTCATGATTCGGCTATAGATATTGCCGAACTCTTTGAGGCCGAACAGCCTCGCGCCGTGGGCCGAGTCATTGAACACGTAAGAGCTAGTCGCATAGATTGGAACAGCGCGTGAGTTTGTGGCTGAATCAGGTTCGTGACTTGAGCTTTAGGTTAGATTTGTCTTTGAAGTGAAATTGGACACTTACCCAGCATGAAGCTGCAGGGTGTCGAAGTGGAGATTCTCGGACATGGTTCAAGATATCAGAATGAAGTCGAGGCAAGAGAATGTCCACTAGTTCAGATTTTTCACACTCTAAGGATTGAACTGAAGACAGAGAAACTAAAGAAGATCAAGTGGAAAAATAAAAAAGGGACGATCTTAAGATGGCGGGGAGCAAATGGTGGGGTGCAGATGGCGTGATTGGGGGTTTATACTCCGGGCATGTTCCTGCATTTGATGATACATGTATGTTAGGTATGTGTTAGCTAGTCTTGCTTCCTTTGAGCCTCTTTAGGCAAGAGAGACTACATTGAAATCGAATATCTTAGGCTTTTCTGTCTACGAGGTATATACAACAGTGAGGATTCGCTGGTGTAGCCCGGGTGAAGCCCATTCTGCTGATCAAGAAAGAAGAGAGAAGCCATCTAAAACAGCCGATCACACGCGGGAAAAGACTAGATAAAGACCAATTCTTCCAGCTTGCCCTTGTCGAGGAACTCATTGATCCTCCTTCTGTCAGGCGAAATCATTATCTCAGATGCCTCTTGACTTTGCCAGATCTCCGGGGTGTAATATAAGCTTGGCAAATCTTCATAGACTAGATGGAGATTGCTCCGGATGAATGTTTCAAATCTGACCTTCTCCATGGATGTCTCCTTGTCGGCTATCTTCCTGGAAGCCTCGGCACGAGCTATAGCAGTCAAGAAAATCTGGATCCAGAACATCTTATGTGTGACCGAATCGACCCGAGGACCTGTCATTTTCTCTGCTTGCTCCAATGCAGTTTTTCCTGGCAAGCCGTTCTCTGATCCCATTATAAGCTTCCTATATAAATATAGTAGCATGTGCGAATGGGTGGATATACTGGGAGAATCCGCCATTGGGGATCCAGCCAGTGCCTGTACATCCTGGATGGCCCAGATTGCTTGGAAAGAAAGGCACTCGATGGTTGGCAACTTAGGGCTATTCTGTAGCAGAGCAGTCTCCATCTGCTTGAAAAGAGCGGCTTGCTTTTGGGATTGGGATGAGATGGTGATGACATTTGGTACCGGCTTGAGGTCTGGTTGGACAAATGCCATACGTGCGGAAATGCTATTCCAGACCTTCTCCGAGTAATAGCGTTTCCAAGTAGACGAGTTCAGTTCGAAAAGCGCGCTGAGAGTAGCGGAGCTAATGCGTGATGCAGGGACGTCAACTATCGACCTTTCACTCGTTGAACTCCCTGGAGCTGCCTCAAGTGACTGGATAGCAGCATGAACTACTTGAATCCAGAAATAGGCCTGTGTTTCGGAATAGGGGGGAACGGATGAGTTGGTCGTTCTAAGGCGGATTGTCGTCATCTTTAGCGAATCAAGTGCTTCCTTGACCACTTGACCGCGCCGAGCGCCTGAAGTGAGAGTGTATTGAACAACTGCAAAGGCGTATTGGAGGAGCCGGTCCGGGTTACTGATTTGTCCGGGAAGAGAATCATGATTTAGACTTGATAGTCCAGGCACGGGTCGCAGGTCAGGAAGTGACCATGACTCCCGTGCCGTTTCAGAAAACATATGCTCCTTGCTGTAGTATAGTCTCCAAAGGCCGGTGTTCATTAATGACGGCGTGTAGAGGAGGACTTGCTGAAAGTCATTCCAGGATGGGAATTTTTCTTTCCCTGTGTGGAGTTTGTATTTCAAAATAGCATTCTGCAGTTGTAGGAGCCAGAATATTGTCATTGTTCTTTGATATTTCAGCACAAGTCCTTTGAAAGGATCATCCGATTTAGGTCTCTTACCGATGCTCTGTATTTCGAAAAAGATCGGGTTTCATCGTTCTCAGTCTCCTTATATGCCCAAGGAAAGTTTCCGCCATATCGAACACATTCTTCCCTTCCTTGATTGACTCCAAAGTAATAATGAAGCCTGACTTGAGGTGACTGCGATGGTCCCACCCTGTCAAATCAGCACTCAAAAACGAATGCCAAAATTGCCGAGGATCCATATTATCTTCGGAGCCTTCTTTTTCAATTCGTACTTTGAGATTGTGATCATCTGATGCCTCCTCTTTCTGCGACTGCTTTGGAACAGGGTGCTTAGGGATCTGTTGCTGATGGTGATCTTGTTCTATGCTAGTGATGAAGGCATGTAGATCCTCCATAACCTGCTTGACCCCTTCCCCAGTCTTGCCACTCACAGGATAATCAATGACTTTGCATTTGACAGAATCGTCGAATATTTCCTTTAATCTTTTGCCATATACCAAGCGTAGATGATCAATATCTTGTGCAGACAGAGAGTCTTGAGAGTCTTGCTTGTTAAAGATAATCCATAAACTTCTATAACCCACCTTGAGCATTTCTTTGCCAATGATAGAGAGGAGATCGAGGCTTTCTTGTGTGTATTCCTCATCCATGGTACAGTCATGGAAGAACAAGACGGATGTGTCTGGGGAACAAACGTATGCTAACCAATTTGGGTACCGAAAGCATCCCACTAGATGCGTTTAGAACAAGGATAAGTTGTCCAGAAAGGAGAATTGACGTACTTCCAGTATCCCAGATCATATATGGGTGACATTTATACTCAAAGGATTCGAGGTAGTGGCCTATGGTTGGAAATGCATCGACTGCTTGACCAAGAATAAGTTGGGAAAGAAAGGTAGTCTTCCCAGATGCCGCCTCTCCAAGAATAAGAACTTGCCGTTCAGAATACCCACGGAGCCATTTAATAACGCTTTGCAGTGCCATGGGAGCCACGTCAAGAGTATAAAATGAGAAAGACAGAGTATCGACTGCTGATCAGAGCAACCTCGGCTCCAGGGCTTGAGCTCTGGAGGTGGATGAGTCAGTGTACTGAAATGCGCTAGTCCGGTTATGGCAACTCTTAGGGCATGTACTACTTTTCACATGCCAATGATAACACTATCCTAAGACAAGCCGTGTGCTTCTGTGACATAGTCGATGTTGAATGCCGATATCTGAATCAGACTCGATACAGAAGCAAGTTCGTCGTCTGAATACACCCGCTCTTTTCACCATTCCAGATTTCAGATATGTTTCCTAGCGCAAAGTGAACTGAGCTCTAACCCGAACATAAATGCCATACCAACATCGAAACAAAAATCTTCCGCATTTCCCACGGTCTATTTTAGTTTATTAAGCTTTACTCCATCCATCTCCATTTGACTCCATTTTGCTCCATTTGACTCCATACATCCTCAAATGGATTCGAAAAAAGTGGACCCGCGCGGGATTGAACCACGAATCTCCGAGGAACCGCATGAAAACTCCCGGGGGATGTTTACATAAGCTCGGCGCCTTAACCATTGGGCCACAGGTCCTATGTCGCAAACCCGTCGTGGATTGTCTACATTATAAGATGACTTCCTGTATCCCCAACCTCTCCCAACCCCAAGCCCGTACAATATACAGAGTATCAGCCTTGGTTATTCACTTGGTTTGTATGTACAAGTGCCAGGGCCACCATCGCCCCCAATCAGACTGATCTAGTCCAATGAATGATGAATGCGATAAATGCGACTTATGGACACCACTTGCATTATTCTGGAGAGCAAAGTAAAGTGAAAATCGGTTTATCGGAGTGGGTCACGTGTGTGGCTTCAGCCCTACCGCTCTACATGCAAAGACTACAACATCAAGGGCACCTTGCTACTTGCTGTATGATCACTTTTTCGGGTTCTTGGTGTATATTGCAGCCTTGTAATATACAGAGTGTGATAAATGGTTCTCTCGATCCATACACTCCGATATCAAAGGGCCAAGGGTACATCTGTCTTCATCTACAACGATCTGTAGAAATGTCGACTTGATACTCTTCATCATGCCTGGTTCAATTAATTATTGTCTCTGGTGTGAGTTCAAAGCTAGGATATGTGTTGCAAATGCAGCGCAGATGCAGGAAACCAAATAGATCAGCCATACCTATAGAAACACCCCCTTTACTTGAGATGCAGATCTCTGTCCAGGTGAGAATAGGTTACGTTCTGGCCATCTACGGGATGTTTTGGTGTCATGCAACCATATGCAGTCATTTAACCGATCTGACCTATGGCGTTAAATTTAGTCTATAAGGGGAATAGTTCGCTGTATTCTTTTACCATGTCATATTAGCCGTATCATTCTTTCGATGAACCAATCATTTCAATGAACTTCTGTTTTTCTTTATTCTCGCCTCTCGTCCGGGGCCCCGCATCCCAGATTTCATGGGGAATCTCCAGAAGTCACATAATCCCCATATGTATTGGCCAATTGAAATAGAATTTGAACTATTCCCAGCCTTCTCTCCCAAGCCAGTTACTCGTAAGCGCCACAACCTTCCTAGTCAGCCAGTTCTCGACGCCCTCGGCGGTGGCTAACCTTTTCTAGTCGCAGCTAAGCCTCTAGCCCGTCTCGGCGTTGGCCACTCTCGGATAAATTGCTGTAGCAGTCGTACTTTCGGGAAACGGGTAATACCCCGGCGGGACAGGTTGCATCCCTATCCATACGATCGTTGACTTGTTTGACAAACTCTCAGATGGCAGAATTAGTCCACGTATCACGCGCATGCCATGCAGCTCTGCAAACGCGCACAAGCGGTAAGATATAAAAGACCCCAGTTTGTCCTTTTTGCGTTTCCCGAGCTTTTGATTCTCATTCCCTTTTTGACCTGGAAATAACGACTATTTCCGAAAATGTCATCCGACAAAAGTGATGACTTGTACGAGAAGGCTGCCGTTGAGCAATCTGAGGTCTTGGTCAACAAGGACCTCATGAAGGATGCCTTCGATGGAGAGAACCGCGAACATGAGATGACAACGTGGGCGGCCATGAAGAGCCACCCCTGGGCTTGCTTGTGGGCATTCACCATGTGCTTCACTATTGTGAGTTTATGCTACTTTTCTATTTCCCCCGCATTTCAGGTTCATCTCCCCCGGATCTCGAGATCATATCAGCTGATCCATATAATATCTACCATCAGGTGATGGAATCGTTCGATATGTTCCTAAATGGTAACTTTGTCGCGCTTCCCGCGTTCAAAGAACGGTATGGCGTCGACGTCGAGGGACACGGTTACACTATCCCGACCAAATGGCAAAGCTCCCTCTTCCAGGCCGGTCAATGTGGCGCTTTCGTCGGTGTTTTCTTGGCCGGTCCTATCACCAATCGGTTTGGCTACCGCTTGACTACCATCTTCGCCCTGATCCTTATGAACGCCACCATTTTTATTTCCTTCTTTGTGAGTAAGCCAACCCCAACGGTTGAACTTATTCTCTAACTGCACCTAGGCCGACTCACTCACTGTCCTTGTGGTCGGCCAGGCTTTAGAAGGTATCCCTTGGGGATTCTTTATTGCAAACTCCCCCGCCTATGCCAGTGAGATTGTTCCTCTCTCCCTGAGAGGTGCCTGCACGGCTACTCTTCAAATGAGTTGGTCCATCGGTTCAATCATTGTCGCCGCCGCAACCTACGGCTACAATAAGCGCAACGATGAGTGGGCTTGGCGAGTGCCTCTTGCCTTACAATGGATCTTTCCTGTGGGTCCTCTCCTTTGAGGTATGTTTTTACATACTGACTCCTTCTAGACTCCTCTCTTGATCCTCCTCTTCTTCGCCCCCGAATCGCCTTGGTGGCTGATTCGCCGTGGACGCAAAGCAGAGGCCCTTCGTTCCATCGAGCGTCTTGGTAGTGAATCTCATGAGCAAGCTCAGCAGTCGCTTGCTATGATAGAACGAACCGTTGAGATCGAAGCTCAAATGGGCGGTACCCCAACTCTTCTCGACCTTCTCAAGGGCACCGATCTAAGACGAACTATCATCACCTGTTTAATCTACGCGTCGCAGAACTTTGCCGGTAACTTGATTGCCAACCAGGCAACTTACTTCTTCGAGCGTGAGTAGTTCCTCCTCTCCTTCTAAATTCTCAGCCGCAATAGATGACTGACTCCCTACTTAGAGGCCGGCATGGGCTCCGACCGTTCATTCCAACTCAATCTGATCAACTCGTGTCTTCAATTAGTTGCCAACATAATCTCTTTACCTCTGGCCTCTTCATTTGGTCGCCGAACCATCTATCTCTGGGGCACAGTCACCAACATGATCCTACTCCTGCTCCTCGGCGTCTGCGCCTCTATCAGCCAGAATACAGCGACCAACTACGCCCAGGCCGTTCTAGGAATCATCATCTCCTTCGTCTTTGCCGGTAGTCTCGGACCCATTTCATACACCATCATTGCCGAGAGCTCCTCCGTACGTCTTCGCGCCTTGAGCACCGGTGTCGGTCGTGCCGCGTACTATTTCGCCGAGATCCCCATGATCTATCTTGCCTCGCAAATGCTTAACCCTACTGGGTGGAATCTCGCTGGAAAGTGTGGCTACGTCTGGGGAGGTACCGCTTGTGTCTGCTTTGTGTCGGCCTACTTCTTCCTTCCTGAACTCAAGGGCCGCTCTTACCGTGAAAGTGATATCTTGTTCAATCGCAAGATTCCTGCCCGGAAGTTCAAATCGACCGTTATTGATGTCAGGGAGAACGAGTAAGGCATGACGATATGAAGGAATGAGATATGCTTTTGTGCTTCTGAAGCGTGGTAAATCAGAAGAAAAGCTTTTATTTAAAGACCATTAAGTCCTCTAGTAAACGTTGCAACCATTCCACCGAGTAGATGTGCGCAACAGATACATTCGCTTCACTCTACCAATACAGTGGCCATTGGTACAGAGGACACTAGCAAATCTACCACTAGGAAGGCTTCATCGTAATATAATATACGCAGTTGATGCTAATAGACGAAATAGGAAGCATAGGTTTAACACTCAATTCGGTTGTCCAGCGCCCTTATTTGACATTTTTTTAATAGCCATGAGCTAGAAAATTGAAGTAATGCTCTTCTACTTATGAGCTATGTAGATTCTTATTCAGTTTGGCGGGTACCTATGTACCAAGGCGGTTAGGTATAAAAGTTCGTAACTTTTATAGGACCACATTTATAGTTAGGATGGTGATATTATATGTATGTCAATTAGAAGATTTTATTGCCTATAAGGTGGCAAATACTTTAAATGAACGATCACATCTCGGTACATTTGGGAACGGAGAAAATCTAGAGAAATATAGAGCAGGGTTACACGTGGATGAGCTAGTTGCCCATATGCTTAGCTCTAGTCAGTGAATAAGATACGAGGTCTGAGCAGTACAGCGGAAAGGAAAATCGAATGAAATAGCAGAGGATCAAGTACCTGTGTAGGTAGAAATAGTAAGAATAGTACAACCAAAAATGCCACCCTTGTAGTTAAAACACCGACGCTATCAAATCACAAAAAGAAAAAAGAACATACATCACAACACAATTGCGCGAAAACTCCACCTGCAGATAGGAAATCTTTCACCGTCCCATAGATTGCGTCACTATAGGATAATAGAAGATCTGGTCATATTGGTAATACATCATCACGGGGAACTCTTCGTCTCAGAACTCTTCATTTCAGAATTCTTCGTTTCAGAGTTGGCAACATCGTTTGGAGCCTTTTCAGATTGAACGATTGAAGCTGACGTTGAGCTCTCCTTGTAGGGCTTGTCCGACAGCTTGGCCTCGGCGGCGGCCAACTTGGCATTGGTTGCGTCCAAAGTCATCTTCAGGGCCTTGATGTAATCAATGGCCATCTCCACGGCGGTAGCCTTGCTGATAGCCTGGTTGGCCTTTTCTTTCTCCTTTTCCTTCTCGTTGGCCTTGCCCCCGGATTCTGCGGCATCCTTCGCGCTGCGTGCATCGATGAATTCCTGCGGAATAAGAAGCTCAATCTCCTTAAGCGCATTGTTGATTCGATTCCGGCGCCCCTGCTCTGCGAGCTTGTGATTCGTGCGCTTGGAGCTCAGGTTCTCTGCCAGGGCCTCTGGATAGCTTACACCCGATGGCAGAGTGCCGTCGAGAATGTGTTGATAGTTGGACTTTGATGCAAGATAAAGCGCATCTTGTGACATGCCTATAATATAGTCAGTATAACAGGGATGAAATTCAATTCTGGTCAAAACTCACCCTCGTTGCCTTTCATAAGCGGCTGAATGCTGGGACTAATCTTGGGCCGCAACTGTGGGCTGGCCTGAGTGGAACTCAAACTAGGTCGTTTCCGATTAGACGCAGCCCTGGTATCTGATTTCCGAGGGACCGGACCACTGGGAGACGGCATTGCAGTTGTGCGTGGACTGGGAGCAAGAGAGGCACTGAGAGGCTTATCGTGCGCCGAAGGACTCAAGAAAGGTGTTCCATTCGTGGGGATTGACGGAGTCCGTACAGCGGTGTCGATGCGGTTGGGTCTCGGACGCAGCTGCGAAGGAGCGGCCGCCTCTGGAAGTGATATATCTTCCATTATATCATCTGGGAACTCAGGCTCTGCAAGCTGCGCTTGGCCGCGGAATTGGCCTGCGGGGTCTTGCGAATGCTGATTCCGCTGAATGCGCATCAAAAGCGCAGGGGTGGCGGCAGTACCGGGAGAAGAGCTTTGAACATGGGGAGCAATTGCAGGAGACATCCGAGGGGGAGGAAGAGCGGGAGGGGGCATCATCGGTTCTGACAATGGCTCAGGGGATACCGAGTCCTGGCCGGAACCTTCATTGCTGCTGAGCTGGAGTGAGCGGATGTCCTGATTTTGCGGCTTTGTCGAGTTCATCTCCTGGGTAAGGCTATTGTAGAACTCCTCCGAATTGGTAGCCAAGGTGCTGCGTTTGCGCTGCGCCCGAATAATGGGTGATTGCTTGACCTTCCGTGTGTTATTGAGCCGATTAGCGGTTGATGGCCGCTGACGAGTGTTGGGTTTCCGAATAATGCTAGGAGAAGGTGGAGCCGAGCTTCCAGGGAGAGGGTTCACTTCCGTAGTTGTGGGAACGAAGCCCATGTCCGAAACCTGTCTTGCGTGGTACTGGTAACTGTTGGATTCGGAGTTTTGGGCCTCGAGGGCGGGAGAGGTGAGAGGTGTAAAGTATTCGCCGGGGATTGTGTATTCGGGGAGTCGGAATTGGTTCTCCAGGGGCGTCATAGCCGGTGAGATAAGAGGAGTGTAAAGGGCCTTGATTGTTAGCCAGCAAATTCATTCTCGGATTTGTGTCAAGACTAACCTGTTCCTCGTTCATGCGTGAATATCCGTCGTACATATCCGTTTCGTCCACGCGATGGGGGTATCGGGCGGTATTGCCATGCATCTCGATACTGTTCGGGGTGGGAGGGATCATGTTGTGGCCCTGCATATAATGTTGGTGGGTAGGCGGTTGCGACATAGGCGATGGTTGCTGCGCGCAAAAGCCTGGCGTCATATGGGGAGTCGAGTAAGGCATTGAGTTGCCGTGGTTCGTGTGCGACTGTGCGTTATCGTTGAAATCCATGAGGCCCTCCATCTGGCCCGAGTATTGCATGCCATGCGATCGTAGGTGAGCCATATCCGAGTCTGGGCCGGTGGAAGTTGGTAGGGAATGGGAATGTTGCATATTCCCTGTTCCTGGTCCGTGCTCGATTTCGGGGAAAGGTATGTTGAAATCAAACAGGTTGGAAAATTCTTCCTCACCAGGCGCACTGATGAGATTATTCTCATGCAGCTGCTCTGGCCACGACATGGCTGGTTGTTCCATTTTTTGTAAAAGGAGATATCCAGTTGGGCCAATTAGGCCGAGAGAGAACTGGGTGTTGAAGTAGCCACCTGCAGCATACAGAGAAGATCCGAGAAAGGAAGAACCCGGGCAATCGGGGGGGGGAAATTGAAAAGAAGAGAAGAGATGAAGTGGAGAATCAAAAACCTTCGGGGCGGAGACGGTCCTCCGTGGTCGGCAACGGCACCTTGCCACTGTGTTGGATGTTAGACGAAGTACGAGCATACGCCTTTTTAATCTTATTCCTGCGCTAGATGCGCGTGTGCTTATAGTGCATGCTGAAAGAACCTGGTAAAAAAGTACTAGCTTACTATGGAGTGCTCCCATAGGTATGTTCTCCGTACTTCGTATAGTCCAAATCTCTTTTTGTCCCGTTTAACCCACAGTGGGGATACGGAATACGGACAAGCTTCCGGGGATATATGCATGAGATTTATATTTCTACCAAAGTAAGAAGGAGTAGTAAGTAGTACTAGGTAACAGTTATGTAGTCAACTATGACTCGAACATATCAACTTCGAGGGTTTCCCAGGTGCAGGTGGAATATAAATCCACATGCATGGATACCTCAGGCAGAGATTGAGGGGTTTATCACCTCGTGATATCGGCTTACCTGAGCAACAGGCATGACATGATCACTTTAGACTTCCCCCTGGAGAGCTTCGTAACCTATTTAACTTCGCTTGTTCGGTAATCTTTCCTGTGAGATATGCCCTCATGATGAGACCTACTCCAGACCTCCCATTCTCTCGCAAACCCTCCGACCATCCCCCATCCCCATCCCTCGATCCCCGCACTGCAACCCCTGCGACCTTCTTCTTATCGCGGAATCCGCATGTCGCGGATTGGGATTCCAGTATATCGATAGATAGCCCCGAGGATGTCAAAGAGAATATGTATGGAGTACAAAGCCTAGATACCTCTCTGTCCCAATCAGAATTCCCATCCTGGCCCCGCAATCACTCCGCAGAGGACAGCCTGAAGCAGGCAACCGACGATTTAGAATCGCACCTCGCACAATGCCGGTCAACGTTAAAGCCGTTAAACTCAGACACCGGGGAATCATCTGAACATGCATCACCCGCTCATACAGTGTCTCGGCCCGTGACCCCACTTACGTTGGGCATCCCCGATGACCCATCGTCGCTGCCCAGCAGCCCTAAATCAATATCCAACCAGTCTTTGCGGCCACTCGACGATATCTCTATCACAGATGAAATCAATAGTCAGGCTATCGGATCTGGAGATGAAGACGAAATGCCCCATGAGTCTCCTTTTTTGGGCCCAGGTGGGGCGGCCTCCCAGCTTATCATGCCAAGCATCAAAATGCCTAGTCGGCGACCGTTCACTGAGCGAGGGAAAGCTATGGGACGATTCAAGGTCCTTTTAGCTGGTGCTCCTGGTAGGTTTCAACAGTTCTAGAGAAATTACACGGGCTAATTGTCTCGAAAATTAGGTTCTGGTAAGACTTCATTGATTAAGTCTATCGTTCAGACATGCGACGATATCGTTCATGTCGACGCCATCCCACAGATGACCTCTTCGGGACGCCGTAGATCTTGCCGGCCTCGATCTCGGGGGAGATCGACTGCTACTATGGAAATTTATGCTAGCACCAAACCTTATCCTTCATGGTGGTCGGATCTGGAAGATTCGCGCGTCCTTCAGCGGCGGAAAAGCATGGGGGAAATTGTGCTAGAGAGGAATCTCTGTTTCGTGGACACGCCTGCGACAAATCTAAGCCGAGCAGGTCAAAGTGACGCTATCGGGGAGTATATGAGACAACAATTCTTCCGTGCCACCACTGCGCTCAGTGGGTCTAGTGTTGATTTCCAAAATCTCCTAGCCGGGAATGGTGGATCCCAGGTGGATGCCATCTTATATTTGATTTCTACTGGTAGGCTTTTTCTATTCTATCTCCGAGGGATACATCCCAAATTAATTCCTGGTCGCTAACCTTCTACGTGCAGATACCCTCTCAACAGACGTGGAATGCATCCGCAAGCTCTGCGAGCTAAGCAATGTGATCCCAATAGTATCCAAAGCAGACACCCTCACCCCGACTCAAGTCACTGACTTGAAAGTCCGCTTCCACGAACAAGCTCGCGAGGCCGGAATCAAACCATTCCTATTCGGTGATCTGCCGAACGGTCAAGATGGGCTCGAATCCCAACCCCCTTATGCCGTCTCTTCCGAGAAATCAGTCGATGCCGAAACAATGGATGCAAGCACTCTAATGAGTCCAGACTACGTTCAACCACTCATACCCTCCGAACTAGACGCCCTAGTCACAAAAATGTTTGATCGCGACAATCTAGCCTGGATGCGCCATTCTGCCGCAAAGAAACTTCTCCAGCAACGCACCGACTCGTATTCGCTCCCGTCCTCAATGCCGTTACCTAGTGCGCAGCTGGGTCCTACCGCAAATGGGTCCGAATATGCATATAGCAGCTGGCGTTCCGTCACTGGAACCTCTATGTCGCCCGGCTCTCCCCCCGGCTATGCCATGGCCCGCATCGCAGACTACACCCGACATGAGGAGCGTATGGCGCAGGTCCGCCTCGCACAATGGGCGACAGACCTGCAGCGCAGCCTGCAGAACGAGCGCAATCGATACACCTCGATAGCCCGCGGCGAGCGCGCTATATGGCTCACCGAGCGGCTAGGCGAGTGTGTTATCGACGGCTCGTTGGTGCCTCTTTCACAGACGCCTGGCTTCTGTGGCTTGCATGGCCCGATCGACGAGAAGAGCCCTGGTGGGTTCCAGGTCATGCGCTCACATGCCGGTTCCGGGGCGGCGTATCGCTTCGCGAAGTTCAGTCCGCATGACCCGCTCGGCGTGGTTGGCTGGATTGACGAACTCGGACATCGGAGCTGGATGCTTGTTCAGATTGTCGGGAGTGTAGGGGTTGTTGGTGGTCTGGCGCTCTGGCTTGCGCGCACTTGGGGATTTCCAACGCGCAGTCTTTCGGATTTCCGTGTCGATTATTGGTGTGGTACTATGGAACGGTAGGTCGATGAGATAATGAGGGTATGAGTATGTGATATTGGCTTTATAGAGTTAGGGTCTCCTAGTTTGTTGTCTGAAGCGTTCCTACTGGATGGGTTTTTGTTTCTCTGCTCTTTGTCTTCGGAAATCATTGCTATCATCTTCCTTCGGCGTCTTATGGCCGGTGTCTTACGGCTCTGGGACTATTCTCCTTGCGGTTCAGGGTCACGTAGCATATTAAGATAGGGATTACTTCGCATGGAAGTGATAAATGTGATTTTTATTTGATTTTTATTCTGTGTGATTCATCTTAATCCTTTTACCCCGTCTATCATTGAGATTGGACAGTGTCTGAACTATATCGACTTCGTTTTCGCCATTTCCATTCATAGATCCAAAGATGCTGCGATCTTCCATAGCTTGGTAAGATGGCCGAGTTGGTCCAAGGCGCACGGTTCAGGTTAACCTGATCCCGATGGTATACAACTGTCTCCGTGTCTCGAAAGGGGCGTGGGTTCAAATCCCACTCTTATCATATCTTTTTGCTTTTTTGTTGCTAGCATTATCTTTTGCTTCATAGAATAATAACAAGGATACTAGTCTAATAGTCTGGCAGCGCCTTGTCATGTCGTTTTGGTAGTCTTTTCAGCAGTCTCCGTAAATTTATAGTATTTTCTCGCCCTTCTTAGATAGACGGCGGAAAAAGACGCTTAATTTGTGCAGACGACCTCCGTATGTATGACATTTGATTACGAACTTAGTAAAAAGGTTGTTGTTGCTTTTTTTTCATTTACCTTGCTACTAGTGAAGTATGTCGTCAGAATAGGATGTAGCCAATGAACCTCTATCTATATCAATCAAATCGACAATTGGCCTGCCAACCTCCAGAACTCACATTGTTGCATCGATTTTTTTGTAAATAATGCTAGGAATGTGTGATGTCTATGTGTTGCAGTTAGATAGCATAGGCGTGAGCAAGATTGATATAATCTTAGCCTCGGTCATTACTCTTCTGCATGAGGTATACTACAAACCTGCATAGATCTTCGTCTTAATTAATTCTATGGGATGATAAGATCAAAATCCGGGATATTGCTCGGGAAAATGGAAGAGCAGGGTCCAACGAAAGAGTATGAAGAAGCAATGGTCAATCCCTGCATGAGATTATATCTCACCCCAAGATTATGGCTATCACGAGCCAAGGAAATCCATAGGTCTACTGGAGAGAATGGAAATAGAGGATAAGGTACAATTGTATTACAGTCAACTACACCCTTAAAAGAACAAAAGAGATATGGGCAATGAATCTAGGCACAAGTGGTCACATCAAATCCAAAACGAAGGGAACATAGTTTTCCCTCTCTACGGTGTAATGTATACAGGGATTTTAAACGGTCAGACCGAGGTCCTCGGCGAAGGGCAGCTGGTGAATATCACCCACGCTGACGAGGGTGGCCTTGCCAGTCAGGAAGGTGTTGGCGACCTACGGGTAACTGTTAGCATCATGACATCAACAATGTGGATAGAGAAAGAACATACCTCCTTGACCTGCTGCTCGGAGACCTTCTCGAGAGCCTGAGCAATCTCGTTGATCTGGTAGGGCTTGTTGCCGTGGATGAGGCCGGAACCGGTAGCCTCAAGACCGGTCTCGAGGGTCTGGACGGACTCCAGAGCGCGGAACTTGGCGAGAGCAATAGCCTTCTTGATGTCCTCGGAGGCGACCTCACCGGCGGCGGCCTTCTTGAGGGCATCGACAACGTTCTTGCTGGCGGCGCCGACCTGATCGGCCTGGCCGGACAGGGTGACAGTGAAAAGACCGGCATCGGAGTAGGCGTTGTTCTTGGTAGAGACGTGGAGCTGGTTGAAGCCCTTGGTGGCCTGCGACAGAAGGGAGAAGCCGGGGGTCCACTTGATAGTGGACTCACCGCCCAGAAGAGCAGCGAGAACGGAAGCCTCGGCCTTGTAGCCTGCGGTGCCGAAAGCGCTGGAACCGGGGAAGGCGATCACAACAGCATTGCCGATCTTGGAGGCAATGCGCTGCTCACCACCGTAGTACTTGGAGGCGACGGAGGGCAGAACGTTGTACTTGCTGGAGGCGTGGCTGGCAGGGGTGTCCTTGAAGAATTGACCAACCCACTTAGAGACCTCAGCGGAGTTGGGGCCGCTGGCGACAAGAGCAATGTTGGACTTGGCGTAGGCGCTCTGGGCGAACTCTGCGAGAGCATCGCCGGAGACGTACTTCTCGTAAGGAGAGGTCTGGGAGGGGGTGATAGAGGCGCCCAGACCGCGGTGGAAAGCAACACCGTGGGCGGCATCGACAGCAACGGTCTCCGGGTTGGAGTGGACGGCCTGCTGCTTGTACTTGATGAGCTTGCTGACAACCTCGTGCAATTCGTGGTCTAATTTTATGGAAGGGGCCCGAGTCAGCAAAAGATGCTCATATAATTGCGATCCACCACGTCAAAAGGGACTAACTCACCTGCAAACTTGGTCTGGGTAGCAACCTCGGCCAGCAACTCTGTGAAGTAGGGCAGATCCTTGGAGAGGAACTTGGTCCGGAGGACAATGTTTTCGCGCGAGTGTGTCGACGAGATTTCACCGCCTAGCAGCTCGGTCTCCCGGGTGATCCGCAGTGCAGACCGCTTGAGGGTAGTCTATTGAGGAATTGAATGATTAGTATCACCAAATATACCTGAGATGAATCAATTGATGCCATAAGACCGACCTTGAAAGCGAATCGATCGAGAGCATCGGAGAACCCAGGGAAGGGCTGGTAACGGGAGCCAGCCTTAGCAACCAGAGCCAGGGTGCCAGTAGGGCCCTGAACTTCACGGTTGGCGACCTTTACGCCGGAGGCTTCGGAGACATCGTACTGGAAGGCCGGGTTGACAGCGGAGGCCATGGACCGACGGCCGGCGGCCAAAGCACGCGGCGCATTTCGGCTGAGGGAAGATCGCGACAGCATCGTCGCCTGTGCCGAGAATCTGTGAGAGAAGAAGAAGAAATATAAACCCGAATTGGGTTTGTAAAGAGGCGCAAATGAGGCGGGGGAGGAGGTGGGATGCGGAGAGAGCAAGAGAGAAGAGGCAGTTTGGGAGGTCACGAAAAGCTTCAAGATCCCGACTCGTCACTCCAACCAATCAGCGGTCAAGTAATCAAAAGCGCGGACGGAACCGGAGTTACTTTTATTGCGAGTAGTAGTTATATAGGACTTTTCTATTGTCTTTGTATTGATTGTTATAGTCTAATTGAGCGTTTTTAAATTCAAAATCTCTATTCTAAAGAAAGTCCTGAGTATCTCTATTGTTTCCCCCATTGTCTCTGAACAACGTTGCTGAATGAGGCATTTGAATCAGCTGATTGGCCATATCACGTGAATATACCGATAAGCAAAAATAAGAACAAAAGAACAATTGCATCTCATCGGCGGTGGATTTTTGGACCTGCAGATGTCTGCTAGCTTGTAAATCTTCATGAGCATTCGGTGACCCTTAGGTGCCCCCTCTCGAGGTTTGGTGGTGAATCTTCTCATATCTTTAGCCCACCATGATGATGTCTCAGGTATGCGACTGTCCCGCTAACCTCGAGAGAGCTACTTACTGACATGAACGTAGTGCTCTACCGAGCTTTGTATGCTCTTGATCGAAGACAATTTTGGAGAGCTCTTTGCCGTGAGTCATCTTGTGCACACGCTCGGGCTATCATGGTTCTCTGCGACAGCGGGGAAGGAACCGGGCTAACTAGTCAACTTTTCGCAGCGCATCTTTACCGTCCTTCAACGTTATGAAAGACTGACTCTCCCTCGGTTGAGATTCTACGCTCGCCTGACAGATCGCCAATTGCACCATGGTCTCTCCGCTATGATCCAGCACCACCTGATATACCACTTCACTTCCCTCGATGATGGCAATACCTACTACGAAGCTAATCCACAAGCCGCATACTCCCTCGTGCGATCTGGAAAGATTCTCCAGCTTGTTGAAACTCGATTGGGAGAATACGCGGCTCAGGTGTTGGAAGCAATCATGAGTCTCGGTCACTCCTCGATCGCCCACCTCGAGACGCTTCCGGAGCTTCAATCCAAGAGGCAGCGCATTCCGAATGGGGTTAATCAGGGTGAAAATACGGTCGAAAATACGGTCGAAGATACGGTCGATGGGAACGGGGAAAAGGAAGAAGATTCAGCTGCTCCTAACGGCAATCATGTTGTCAGGGAAAAACCGGTGCACCTTCATCCCACCTTGAAGAGTCTCGCCTCTCACGGATACATCCATCGTCTTCGAGAGGCACATTTCCAAAGTCCGAACGACAACTGGATAGATGCTTCCCGAATCATCGCGTCAAGACCAGATGTCAAACAAATGAAAGGCAAACAGCAAGCAACGGAGATTGAGGAGAAGGCGAAGGACTTGGTCAAGGAAAGAACTGAAGGAGATCTGAGCAGGGGCCTAATATACAACGGCCTCCCTCAAGGCGCCAAAAGAAAACGCGATCATGGCAACTCGGAGTCCAATAAGCAGGCGCCTAATGGCACTAACGGTGTCAACGGGGACCATGTAGAGGACGAGGGGGAAGAGGATAATGATTGGTCGGAAGATGAAGATGGCGTTGATTCAATCCCAATGGATGTAAGTTTTCCTTTTTCCTTGCCACGGCTTCGGGTCAACTAATAACCATTACCAGTCTAACCTTATCGTTCGGGTGAACTACGAGAAACTCGACGTGGCGCTTCGAAACACGCGGTTCCTCGACCTTGCTAAGCAAGATGCACCTTCCGCCTCAGTTGAGATTTATGACTGTCTGCTTCGTCGCATTGAATACCAAACAGCCCGCTGCCGAGACTCTTATGAAATCCCTCGTGAAGGAGAAGAAGGCGAGCAATATTCTGCTCCAATTCAACTGAGCTCAATCGTCGAAGACGTTGACCCGAATCTGGATCTTACAGGATGTATTGGCCCGATGGAGCCCTCAACGGTGTTAAACCGAGGCGGCAAGCGACCATTGGATGATGAGACGAATGGCGTGAATGGTGACGAGCATGAAGATGAACCGAGCGGGCAGAACCGCGCCTATGGAATTGACCAGCACCTTAGTATTCTCTCACAACCTCCCTTGAACCTTACCACAAAACACGTCATCTCCGGGCTCCCAACGTGGCGAGTTGCATTCCGAGGCCTGGCCCGCAAGCTTCGCCATTTAGAACTGGAGCGCATGATTGAATCACGGTATGGAGATGTGGCACTGCGGGTGGTCCGCGTCCTGCATGCCAAGGGTAAGCTTGACGAGAAACGGCTCCAAGAAATCAGTCTCCTACCCTTTAAAGATTTGCGCCAGACGCTTGCTAGCATGCAAACTGGAGGGTTTGTGGACTTGCAGGAAGTGCCGCGTGACGCACAGCGCCAGCCTTCCAAGACAATCTACCTGTGGTACTACGATCCAGATCGAGTGTGCAGCAGTATGCTGGAGGATACGTACAAAGCCATGTCACGGTGCCTGCAGCGCATCAAATTCGAACGTGGCCGCGAGAGAGATTTTCTCGAGAAGACAGAACGAACCGACGTCAAGGGCCACGAGGAAGAATTCCTCTCGGAGGCGGAATTAGAACATCTTCGCAACTGGAAGGCCAAGGAAGCCTTGCTGCTGGCGGAGGTATCTCGATTAGATGACATGGTTGCTGTTTTCCGTGATTATTGATTTGCTATGTTTATATCATGGAGGCTGGGAAGTAATTGGGGTTGCATAAATCTGTACAGGCGAATGAGCGACGAATTGATACAAATGACATTTCCATGCTCGTTCTGCGAGTCTATACCTCAGACATATGTTGGAGATATGTAGCCATGTTTCCAAGGTCGCTCCTTCCAGGCGTAGATAAGGTACTCCGTTGCCTTAGTAAGTAGCATACGCTCACCGCCACAAAAGGAATGAATACATATCTCAGATGTGAGAAACAGGCTTTGTCTCTTTAGCTTTGTCTCTTTAGCTTTGTCTCTTTAGCTTTGTCTCTATGTCAGTGCAGGATCTAGAATTCAGCATTCGTCCAACTCTTTGCTGATAAGAAGCTATGATGACCTTCAAATTACCCATCTCTGGTATTTTTCATAGGGCTCCTTTGTGGGTATTTTCTTTTTATTTTATTTCCTTGCCTTCACTCTTAATATGATTGATAGATATGATAAACAGCCTTGGAAGTGCACGTTCTATATGTTATAAAATAATCCAGACATTTTGTATAACTTGGGGCCCTGTTCCACGAAGATCGGCAGCCCCGCGTCATAGGCCTTTCACATGCACCATTTAGCCAAGAATATACGAGACTAGCGTTGAATACTTTACTACTTCGTATAGGCAGCAAAGAAAGGGAAAAATAGCGCAATGTATTAATAGAGACCAGGCGGCATAGTAGTGTCTAAACGGTAATCAAAGGACATCAGAGAGGCGCATTAGGCAGTATAAATTCAAAACAAACCGGCAAATAAACAGTCAAAGAATGCGGGAGAAACCAAAAGTGGTACCTATTCAAGGCAGAAATAAACCCCTACGTCAGCCCTATTGGTATCAAAATCGCCAAGTCTGTAAATATTAATGACGCTGGCGCGACGCCGGTGGCTGCCCGATCCCTGCGCCTTGTTATACCTTGCCATACCTTGCCTGGGGTTCCTACAAAAAGGGTTTTTTTCTGACACAAATCCACAGATAAATTTATTTCACATTCATATTCACATTCACAACAACATAACATCCTATCGAAGATGGCCCTCCCGTGGATATACCCCGTCCGAATCGCCCAAGCACTCTTCGGCGTGATCGTGATCGGTTTGACAGGATATGGTCCGTTGCTTCAGAGCAAATTCTTGAAAATCCATGACAACTGACAAGTCTCTAGTGGTTTCATTATTCTACAATGGATGGTCATACTCGGATACCGTCAACTTCCTCCTCTTCCTCGGTTGCTGGACTGCCTTTGTAGCAGTGCCCTACCTCGTCGTTGCACCGATATGGTTCCCTCGCCTTGCACACCGCTTTGTGATTCCGGCTGTTGAAGTGATCACCATGATCTTCTGGTTTGCTGGGTTTATCGCTCTGGGAGCGATATTGCCTGCGCCGAGGTGGTGTCATGGCAGTGCATGCAGCTCGCTCCAGGCAGCAACGGTATTTGGGGCTATTGAATGGTGCGTGTCTTCTACTTTTGGTTGGCGTTATATGATGGTACATATTGACAGAGAGCTAACAATGATTTGTGTGGCATATAGGGTACTTTTTGCGGTCACCAGCTATTTCAGTATTGTCGATCTTATGCACCACCGCGGGGCAGAAGCGAAAACACATACGAATGTGCAGATGGGAGTCTGAAGTGTTTATTTGACTTGATTTGGATATGATACCCTTTGAATAGCGACCTTTATGTTTATCTTATGAATTTCAACCGGATCATAGGTCTAACATGTAGTGTCATTTTTATGACTAACTAGTAGTAGCTCCAAGGTTAATCTCCGCAAACGGCAACCCGGCCCCGCCAAGCCCGCTGCCAAGCATGTGGCTACATGATTAGTTGCCACAGTAGATTCTTATTTCAGGATTGACAAGAGGAATATAGAGGATTAACTAGTTGGATATATCGCGTGGAATAAGATGTACATGTAGTCTATTCTATGTACGTATCCTTGAATGTGGCCATTTATCTCATTGATCTGCAATGCATGATAAGAGGCCTCGGAACATTCGGGACCTGGGGATGCCAAAGACAACCGTGGATCTTTCAAAGCCTCGAATTATCAGCATCGTGTGCTTTGTAATGAAGCCGAGTTGCAAGAGCCGATAAGCTTTTTATGTAACTAGGTACAGTTCGTGGTCCACGGGTACATACTCCGTAGTTAACTAACTATCGCTTCCAAGGTTACGTACAACATAAGCCGTCTTACCACCCCACGGTACGCCACTCATCCCACCCGTGCCCAGGTGGGAACCAGACAGAAATTTCTCAGACAGAAATTGTAGGATTTTAGGTATCTTGACATGGTATACCTATACAAAAGGTACATAACTTGAGATATACGTAATAATAGATATCGTATAACTAATAGATATAGTATCAAGGAGGCCTGTTCTATTTGGTATTGTCTCTAAATGGCAGCTCGTTGATGGCTATATACATTTCTTAGTTATGTATGGTATTTTATATTCTCCATATAAGATATCTAGATTTATTATTAGCCAATCAACTAAACGAGAAATTTATCATTCTTCCTCTAACTAGCCAGAGGGAGAAAATAAGGTAGTATTAGGTATACGTACCTTATATGAGTGGGCTAGTTATACAAAAGATAACTAATTCTGACAATTTCTGTTTGGTGAGAAAAATTTTGTTTAGTGGGACAGACCCATACATTTCCAGGTATGGGAGCGGTAAGATCAAAAGATGTTCGGACGTAGTACTAGTCTCGTGTGTTGCTCCACCGAGGAAAAAGCCTGTCTTCGGACTTCTTTTGCCTCAATCGAGTGGATACTTGTTGCAGTCTCTCAGATCCTTTCTTTCCTCTCTTTATCCCATCTTCAAGCCACCCCCTCTTGCCCTAGCAAACATGGCTGACAAGTCAGAGGGAAAGATGAGCGGTGAATTGCCTGTGCAAGTCCAAGCACAGAGCATTGCCTATGATATCGACTATGAGAAGTTCGGTGCCCAGCGCGAGGCGAACCCGCTGCCGGATCTCAAGCGGCAGCTGAAGAGCAGACATTTACAGATGATTGCCATTGGTGAGTTATGATGAGCTATATATCATCGATCAGGATCTTCAGGCTAATGCTCTTCGAAGGCGGCACAATAGGTACCGGTTTATTCATTGGTAGCGGCACCGCCATTGCTCACGGAGGCCCCGTGGGCGCTCTCATCGCTTACATCTTCGTTGGATCGATCGTGTACTCGGTCATGACCGCCCTCGGGGAGATCGCAACATATATTCCGATTCCTGGCGCCTTCACCTCGTACGCTGCTCGCCTGATTGACCCTAGTTTGGGCTTTGCTATGGGTTGGATCTATTGGTTCTCATGGGCATCAACATTTGCGCTGGAATTAACTGCAACCGGTTTGATTATCCAGTTCTGGGACAGCAACATTCCCATCGCTATCTTCATCGGCGTGTTCTGGGTCGTCATTATCGTTTTCAACATGATGCCTGTGGCCTTTTATGGTGAAATCGAGTTTTGGTTCGCGAGTATCAAGGTCATTACCGTGATTGGCTTCATGATCTTCGCGATTTGTATGAATGCCGGTGTCGGTAAAGAAGGGTATCTCGGTTTCCGATACTGGGTGCACCCAGGTCCATTCGTCCCCTACTTGATTGAAGGAAACGATTCGTTGGCCAAGTTTGTTGGATTCTGGTCGACGCTTATTCAGGCCGGATTTTCCTACCAGGGAACCGAACTGGTTGGTATTGCGGCCGGTGAGACCGAGAACCCTCGCAAGACCGTCCCATCTGCTATTCGCAAAACCTTCTTCCGTATCGTCTTCTTCTTCATCCTGACAATCTTCTTCCTCGGAATTCTCGTGCCCTCTAGCGACCCCGGTCTATTGGCTAGTCAGGGAGATGGTGCTTCTGCTCAGAACGCCAACGCTTCGCCCTTCGTCATTGCCGCCAACCGTGCCGGTGTCGCGGCTCTCCCCAGTATCATCAACGCCGTTCTTCTAACCGTGGTACTTTCAGCGGCCAACTCCAACGTCTACAGCGGGAGCCGTATTCTGGTGGGTCTGGCCCAGGAAGGTTTCGCCCCTCATTGGTTCAAGATTACCAGCAAGCACGGTGTCCCTTACTACAGTGTGCTCTTCACGGCGGCCTTTGGTCTGCTCGGATTCTTGAACGTCTCCGATGCAGGTAGCACAGTGTTCACCTGGTTACTCCAGATCTCGGGTGTGGCTGGTTTCATCACCTGGTCTTCACTGAACGCCTGCCACCTTGCCTTCCAACGGGCGCTTAAGGCTCGTAACATCTCTCGGGATATCCTGCCTTACAAGGCCATCTGGCAGCCCTGGTACTCGTGGTATGGTCTGTTCTTCAATTGTCTGATCATTCTCACCCAGGGATTCACTGCCTTTATCCCGAACTTCCAAGTCAAGGATTTCTTCATCAACTACCTGAGCTTGATTTTGTTCGTGGTGCTATATGCGGGACACAGGATCATTTACCGACCTCCCTTTGTCAAGCCCATTGAAGCTGACCTGGATACCGGTCGTACCACTGCTGATAATGAGACATGGGAGACTATCGAGCCAACCACATGGCAAGGCAAGGCATGGAAGTGGATTTGCGATTAATTAGATACTGCTGATCTGTATATTAGTTTTTTCTTTGCATATTGCATATTGCATATTGTATAGGTGTTATCTTTTTCTTTCTTTTTTCAATGTTTATATTCCAACAATATATCTACATCTTCATACATTATACTTATACAATATACCATCTCGGTCCATGTGAAAATCAGTGCATGTGAGTTGTCCAGCAAATTGGGTGGAATATGTAAGCAGCTCCACTCGGGTAGGTACCTGAGATACTATGTGAGGTACCACTCTGTGGCAAGTACCCCAAAAACAGCCGAGGTCCCTTGTTCGGCTCATGTCTTTCATGTCCCAAAAGAGTCGGTTGCTCCGGGTTTGTTGCGACTCCAGTTTTCTCCCCCACACTCTTTGCCCCCTTTAATATCCGGATCACTCGGGCATTCCTTCCTTTCTCTCTTTTCTTACTCACATAGATATCCGGTTCGTCGGCCTGTTGTTATCACTCATTCTCTCGCTGACCACAGATCGCTATCCCGCTAGACATGTTTTTCTCACAACCTACCCATTTGGCTAAGGCCGAGGAGCTCAAGCAAGCACCCCCCAAAGGCGTCGCTTACTCTGTGGCTCTTCCCGGCACCGAACAGCCTGGCCGCAGTCCGGTATACCGAGCATGGAATGCGCAGAAGGAACTTTTGACAACACTGGACCCCGAGGTACAGAGGCGCACGCGCGAATGTTAGAATATCTTTATACTGACTGATTTTAGGTCACCACGGCCCATGATATATTCGAGTCGACCGCCATCCGCCATCCCAAGAATGACTGCCTTGGTTGGCGTCCGTATAACTCCACGACCAAGTCCTTTGATCCATACCAGTGGCTCACTTACGAGACTGTGCAGAAGAGACGCGCCGCATTCGGTGCTGGTATAGTAGAGCTGCACCACAAGCACGACTGCCATCGCCCCGGCCAGTATGGTGTCGGTCTCTGGTCCCAGAACCGGCCAGAATGGCAGATCACTGGTGAGTTTAGGTTGTGCGGGCGAAGAATTCAAGATATTGGACGCTAAATTGAAATCATGTACAGATCTGGCTTGCGTTTCGCAATCTCTTTACTCCGTCTCGATCTATGATGTCCTGTCCGAAGACGCTACCGAATACATTATCAACCACTCTGAGCTGAGCTGTGTTGTCACCTCTCTACCTCATATCGCCTCTCTGATCAAGCTCAAGCCTTCTCTCCCAACTTTGAAGATCATCATCAGTTTGGACCCATTGGATGGTGGTGAGCAGGCCGGTCACTCGAAGCGTGCCATCTTCGAGTCTATGGCCGCTGGTCTGGGCCTGGCGATCTATACTATCGATCAGGTTGAGGAGCTGGGTTTGGCCTCGAAGCGCGGTTACAATCCTCCTTCTGCTTCGGACATTGTGACTATCAACTACACCTCCGGAACCACTGGTCCCCCCAAGGGTGTCGTTCTGACGCACGGCAATGCGGTGGCCGCCACGTCCTGCGGTTTGATCACTATCAGCCAAGCCCGAGGTGATACGTCGGCCTCTTATCTGCCGCTGGCTCATATATATGCTCGTCTGGCAGAGCACACCGCTTTCTGGGGTGCTGCACGGATTGGTTATTTCCACGGAAACATCGCGGAGTTGGTCGACGATTTGAAGTTGCTGAAGCCCACCGGTTTCATGTCTGTTCCTCGTCTTTACAGTCGATTTGGTAGCGCGATCCGTGCCGCGACAGTTGAACAGCCCGGGTTCAAGGGCGCTCTTTCGCGACACATCATTGCGGCCAAAACCGCGAACATGAAGAATCCCGATCCTTCCAAGGCGACCGTCAGGCACGCTCTGTACGATCGCATCTGGGCTAAGAAGGTGACTGCCGCTCTTGGTCTGGAGCGAGCCAGATACATGGTGTCTGGCTCCGCACCTTTGGATCCGACCCTACACAACTTCCTACGTGTTGCCACCGGTACCGACGTCCTTCAGGGTTACGGCTTGACCGAGTCCTACGCTTCAGCTACCGCTCAGCCGGTCTACGATCTGACTGCTGGCAATTGTGGTAGTCTCGCACC